TAGTGGGGGTGCTGTGCGCAGCTTCATTTTTCGCGCCCCCCCCCCCCCCCCGACGGACCCAGCCAAGAAAAAGAACATTCTCTCTTATCTCCCCTCCCTGCCCCCCCGTTTTTCATTCTTTTTTCTTCGTCCTCCTCCTCTATTATAAGTAATAGGAAGTTAATGAAAATAAAGTGAGGTACCTTGATTGTTTTTGTAGTCAAACTTTTTTTTCCACAGACCACTTGAAAATTGCTGAGGGTCTCGGTGGACCACTTAATGATCTTTCCAAATGTTGTTTGTACCATTTACTGACTATTGTAAAGTGCTTTGGATAAGAGCATTTTATTAAAAAAAAATAAAAACTTAATAACCTTTCCTCGGTCCACCTGAATGGAGTTCTCAGACCACAGTTTGAGAACTTCTGGCCTAGATGAAAGCTTGTATTTGCATTACGCTAACGTGAAAAATGTGTGAAAATAAAAAGTATAGATGACGCATGAATGGAAAATAAAAGTTAACTTCATCTGAAGAAACATATTGAATTTGAAAAAAATATATGTGTATTCAGATAGCTTTTTTTTTTAACACTTTTTCTTTACAAAATCGACCTCATCGTTTTTGATAAAATGAATGAAATGTTTCACTTCATCTTCAAAAAGATTTGTGGCTATGTCCTCTCGGTAGAATTCACTTAATTTCTTACTGTAGTGGCTTTTAGCATTTTCGTCCATACTTCTGTCAAAAAACACGCAAAATAAATCAACAGTTTTCTTTAGAGATTCACCTCTACCCTGCAATTGCACTATTATTGTGTCACAAATAACATTAACGGTCTTAACGACGATCTTCTCTTTCCCTTTTAAATTGATTACATTGTCTCTAGTTTCATCGAAAAATAACTTCCTGCTTTGTTTACGCTTCTCATCAGATATATCAGAGGAACCTATATTTTCTGTTAATGTTAGTGCCTGCCTCTGTTTCCACGGAGCTATAGTCATTTCAAACTTCCATGACAAAACTTTTAACTGAGGCTAACAATTGTGCAGCATTCAAAAAATTTGTATCAACCTTTTGCAGCAATTTGCTGACAGCATTAATTCTTTGAAGTAAATGGTCTCACAAAAGAATAAAAACAGCAATATCGTACACCTCTACCCCGATATAACGCGACCCAATATAACACAAATTCGGATAACATGGTAAAGCAGTGCTCTGGGAGGGTGGGGTTGCGCACTTGCGGATTAAAGCAAGTTCGATACAACACGGTTTCACTTATAATGCGGTAATATTTTTTGGCTCCCGAGGACAGCGTTATATCGGGGTAGAGGTGTACTTTTCAAACTTTTCTGCTAATGATTTTGCTTCAGTTTTCGCACGTGGTTTTTCAGAATTTGATGTGGCTATGTCTAATAAGGTTTTCTTTATATCATCATAGCTCATTTTCAAAGCCAAAACAGCATCTGCGTGAGTAGATTACCTGGTGTCACAAATTCTTTTGACTGTCAAATGTTTTTCATTTGCCTGCTCCAAGTGTGATTGTAGCATACTCCACCAATGCGTGGAAATCAAAAAAAGGCATACACATTTTGAACAAAGTCAAAAAAAATGTGTAGCTCCCTCACAAGATTCGGCTGCAGCTTAAATTTAAGGAATGGCTGGAACATGGTATGACTAAAGCAGAGGGGCTTGCATTGTTCAGTCTTGCCTGTAGACCTGAATATTTTCCTGCCATATTTGCGGCGTTATCAAAACTCTGCCCACGACAATTTTTGATGTCCAAACCTAAATTTGCAATGATTTCCAAAACAGTTGTCTCTAGACATTCAGAAGTGTGGGATTTTAGCGGGACAAAACAAAGAAATCGCTCTATAACTTCACCATTGCCGGTCACATATCTTAAAATTAATGTTAATTGGTCTACATGACTCACATCTGGTGTTGAATAGACTATTATGGAATAGCATCCTTTACTTCATCAGTGAATTGGTTTCTGAGCCGCTTTGCCATTATAGTGATGAATTCATTATACGTTTGGAGGGTTAAAAAGTTGGTCTTCCCTGAGCCACAATACTGATAATTTTTCAAATGTTCTTTGAGAAAATTGTCAAATTTACTAAGATATTCAAAGCAGGTTAAAGAATTACCTTTTTGATTTGACATTGAGGACTCATCATGTCCTCTTAGAGCCGGGGTGAGCAAACTATGGCTCACGGGCTGGATCCGGCCCCTCAGGGCTTTGGATACGGCCTGCGGGATTGCCCCCCATGGTGCCGTGGGCCCCGCGCCGCTCTCAGAAGCGGCTGGCACCACTTCCCTGTGGCCCCTGGGCGGGGGGGTGGGGAGGAGGGCTCCGTGCGTTGCCCATGCCTCCAGGCACCGCCTCTCACAGCTCCCATTGGTCGGGAACGGGGACCCGCGGCCAATGGGAGCTTCGGGGGAGGTACCTGGAGGTGTGGCAAGGGCAGCGTGCACGGAGCCCTCCGCCTCCCCTCCCCCAGGGGCCACAGCACTTCCTGGAGCGGCGCGGGGCCGGGGACAGGGCAGGCATGCAGGGAGCCTGCCCTGGCCCTGGTGCACGCCACTGCCACCCCGGAGCCGCTTTAGGTAAGCGGCGCCAGGCCAAAGCCCGAACCTCGCCTGCACCCCACCCCCCAACTCCCTGCCCTAAGCCCCCTACCTGCACCTCGCACTGCTCGTGCACCCCAACTCCCTGCCCTGAGCCCCCTCGTACACCCGCACCCCTCCTGCACCCCAACCCCCTGCCCTGAGCCCTCTTGTACACCTTGCACCCCTCCTGCACCCCAACCCCCTGCCCTGAGCCCCCTGCTGCACCCTGCACCCCTCCCACACCCCAACCCCCTGCCCCGGCCCTGCATACAATTTCCCCACCCAGATGTGGCCCTCGGCCCAAAAAGTTTGCCCACTCCTGTCTTAGACGCAGTCCCAAAGAAGACAGCAGTTTAATCGAGGCAACAACATGTCTCAGCACTTTCCTCCAATTAGAACGCTCCTTTTCAAACTGAGCTGATAAGTCAGAATCAATTCTTCCAGATAATTTACACCGTTGAATGAACTTACACACAGGGCCGGCTCCAGGGTTTTGGCCTCCCCAAGCAGCCAAAAACAAAAAAAAAACAAAAAAAAAGCCGCGATCGCGATCTGCGGCGGCAATTCGGCGGGAGGTCCTTCACTCCCAGGCGGAGTGAGGGACCCTCCGCCGAATTGCCGCCGAATACCTGGAACTGCCGCCCCTGTCCGGAACAGCCGCCCCAAGCACCTGCTTGAGAAGCTGGTGCCTGGAGCCGGCCCTGCTTACACATAGCATTAATATAAGCTTTAGAAGTTTCATGATCAACAATATGTCTTGCAAAGTTTCTCCAATTAGAGTTCTCATCGACGAATGTTTGTTTTCCTTTACTATGGTCAGGGAATAATTTGCAAACATAACAATAGACTGCCTTAGTGGTTTCCGAAAAAATCAACCAACTTCTCATTTCTGTCATCCCGTTTTTCTTCGTCCTCAGAAAACGGGACTCATGAAGACCTCTAAATTGCTTTAGTCCTGCAACCTCATACTCTTTTCTCAAATTTTGCATATTACCTATGTTTTTCGGTTTATTTACTAAGAAATATTCTATCATATCCAATGAAACAGATTTTGACCATAATGCAATGTCTTCAGAGTAGGTTTCTTCCCTTACCAATATTTTGTAGTTCCATTGTCACTTCTGAGTCCACTTGTTCAACTTTTGCAGTTGTTGTGGTATCCCCACAACCCAGCAAGTGATCAGATAATTCAGATGTTTCCTCGCCCATACTTTTTGATGAATGTCGACTATTCAATACTTCAAGCTTTTTAAAATAAGATGACAAATTGTCTTTTTGCTTAGCTTCGTTTTCTTGCCTTGCCTTCCCTTTTTTTGCGATTTTGACTCCCAGACTCATAGTGTCGCTTCATTATTGCTAAAAAAACTGATCTTGATTTTAGGCAGATTAAAAATGTCTGAAAGAGCAGGGGCGTAGCCATAGGTGGGCCTGGATGGGCCGTGGATCACCCAATTAGGTTTAACACAGTTAATCCTGCATTTTTAATCAGACTCTGTAAAAATGGGATTTTGAACCATTACATACTTGTGGCAAATCACAGGCATTGATGCAAAGTGCGGGGGAGGGTGCTTTTATTCAGTTGGATAATTGATCAAGCAGACAGACTTTGATTGGCAAATGACGATTTCCTTACTTGTTGTGATACTATTGCCGAGACAGCGAAAAAACGGTAAAGCAAAATTCTTTGCTAGACTACAAAAAAACACGTTTAGAGCACAGTTCTCAGAATAAGTTTGCAGAATGCAGAAAGCCTGGACTGCTTCGCGACTTGCAACAGGTATTAAATTCAGTCATTTGTCAGATTTATCCTGCATTTGGGGCCCCATGTCGTTGGGGGCCCCATGCCACCGCATGGTTTGTTTCACGGTAAATCTACCACTGGTTGGAGTGCAAAATATCTGTGCAAGCCCTTTTTGGTGACTAGTATCTGGGAACATTCAGCAATGTTCGGTTTCCTTGCTGAGTAGAATGATTCTGTGTCTCTAACGTTGTTGAGTGCATTGACTAAAAATTAACACGCTGTTTTATCTTTTATTTCAGTGACTACATCATGGCTACAGGGCCAACAGATGTCATACAGCCACCAGAGGCCGGGGAGACAACTGAGGAATGTGCAGGTAAACAGCTGCTCTTCACATGTATAGTTAATTTGGCAAGCTGTTGGAAAGCAGGATTCATTTCTTTAAAAGGGAGCCATGACTGAACTGTTCTTTGGAGTCTTGTGAGTTTTTGTAATGGAAAGAAAGAGCCATGCCTTGTAAGCAAGGGAATCTTGTTGGGAAACCAATGTGAAGTCCTGGAGAGTCATAAATTTGTGCAGGATATTTATCTCAAATTCTAATGTTGGATGCCAATCAAACAGGGCTGCGTAGTCTGCAGAACTGGCTGCTGTGCGTACTTTGCCGGGATCTTATCTTAGAATCCGGCCCTGAGTGTATGTTGCAATGGTAACTCCTGCGTAGGGAAGAGGTGATGGACCATGTCACCACTGTAGCACTTCCTCATGGTTGATGAGCATCCGTGTTTGCTACAGATGTCCACCCATTTGCTTACCTTTCAGTCTGGTGGCCTGCATTGGCACTCTGTCAGCCCCACGAATGAGAGCGACAGTCTAGGGAGAAAAGAAAATGTCTTGTCCAGTCAGAAGATCTGTCTGTCTTCAAAACAAAAAGCCTTTTGCCACTATTCAAGCTGTTCCTCAGGAGACATGTATGAGCAGCAGTAGGGTGGGCTGAGATAGTTCAGGAGCAGTTGTAATATCATCTATTGATGGAGCGGTTCAGTACTTCACAGATAACGATCATCTGGCTTATCATGTGTAAATGTATCTACACCCATCAGTATAGACCAAACCATGTGCTGCTGCATGCTGTCAGAGACCTGTATGCACATAGGCCATTCCCCTGCTAGCTGTCAGAGTAAGGAGTGGCAATGTAGCACTGTGAAGGCTGCAGATAGGCGCAGCTAAGCACAGCAGTTATGCTGGGAGTCTAGAGAGCCTGGAAATGGGACTACATAAAGACGCAAATTTTAGAATAGAAGAAGTCTGTTAATTGAACTATGAATGGGTGGTGGGAATAGGATAAAGGGAATGAGGGTGGAGAATAAGAATGGATGCTTAACCAATAACATACTTTTTAGTATATAAATCTAGTTTGTGCAAACCATCCCAGGTTTCTCATAGTACACAATGTGCAAGCTAGTGAACTTTATCATTTGTGTGACACCTACTGCATGGATGGACTAAGTTCCTTCCAGCTAGTTTTGGTCATAAATACACATCTCATGAGTGAAAGCCTGGACCCGGTGAAGCCCGTGAGAATTTTGTCATTGATTGCAATGAGGTTAGGATTTGGCCCAGCATCTGCAGCTGAATTGAGCCTACATATATATTTGGGTCTGAAAAAACATAGGAATGTTTTTGTTTCTAACTTAATCCAGCTCTAAAAAGGTTCGGGGTTGCAGTAGCTAATATTGAATTGTTTAATGAGACTGGCACTGAACAGAGCTATCCCAGTCCTTCCTTCCTTAGCTCCCTACAAAGTGTAGCATTACATCAAATCCTCCTCTTTATAGCTTTAATTGGGGTGGATTTCAAAAACCTTGGAGACTGAGATTTCCAGCGTTTATGCTCCAGTCAATTGGATTACTCCACAGATTTTGGATTTTTTCCTATAGGTAGCAGAGCGTTTTCAGTATGTGCTGTTCCCTGTTGATGGCAGTGATCACAGAGAGAAACCAGACAAGCTTGACTCTCTGACCACCTTCAAGTCATAATCTTAGCATTGCCTACTCTTGCAAGTCTGGCAATATTTGGCATTTTTCATCAAGTCTCAGCTCCTGGAGTCATGGTATATCATGAGACTCTTGGCTTAATATTTTTAATATGAAGTTTCTAACCCTCATGGCTGGAGAGAAAAGCTTGCAAATATGACCTTAGTGCACTTTAAAGGCCCCAAACCCAGAAGGCAAATAAAAAGCACCTAAAATTTATTATGATTGGTTTACATTTCATGATTTTTTTTAAGCCAGTCTCAAGATTTTGGGGCACCTGACTCATAATTTTGTAAACATTTGAGGTTGGCGATACTGATAATTTCAGGTGTTACCCCTACCCCTGTATCTTCCTAGCAATTTTTGTCATTTTACAATCACATTTTCTTATTTTAAAAAATGTTTTTCTTTCCCCTGTTGCTGTGTAAAAGAATCACACAAACAACAAGGGGACACTGTTTAACGAACTGACCAGGGGAAAAAATAACGGAGAGGGAAAAATAACGAAAAGTGACCAAGAGGAAAAAATAACGCAACTGGCTCCATGCAAAGTGCTGCGAAATGCACAAAGTAAACGAACTTGAAAAAACAGAACAAAATGTTTGTTTTCTCGTCTTTCAGTTACAGTAGTTACTTGTAATTTTAACAGCCCATACATTTTCAGATAGCAGTGTGATTTTTTTTTTTAAGTTGACAATAGCCCTTTAAATTTTATCTGGAAAACATACATCTTAAATTGCAGTATTGCCAATCCCAAGCATTCAAATCGTGAGTCATCATTCCTAAACTGTTTGATGAATGGTTTTATACACCCTTGCGTTAACTTGGGATTCCTCTCTCTCTCTCTCTTTGCTGGATTTTTAATTCGTTATCTGGTTAAGTTTTCCTTTTTTATGTATTATTATTTGTATTATTGCAGTTCTTAGAAGCCCTAGTCATGGGCCAGGACCCCATTGTGCTGGGCACTGTGTATACACAGATTATCTTGCCCATAGATAGCTCAAGTATTGTATCACAAAACCTAGTGAAATATTTGGTTACTTCACCTAGTACTGAAATGCCTTGTAGGTGAAACATGGTAACTTTTGAACAGCATACAAAAACGATGCCCAACAGTTCACAACATGAAGCTAAAGTGAATACCATTATTGTGAATTATGTCTTAAGTGCCAAATGCTCTCCGAACTCAATACAAGAACACAGACATGGCGCCCCAGAGGGCTCATGGTCTAAATACACAGATCATACAGGAAAGGGCTATCTTGAAGTGGTTTTTTGATATAATGGTTGGGACTGTAGGTTCTGTGAGCTTCAGGGAAGAGCCTTCTTTTTCTCATTTAGTTTAAACAGCTGGAGGAATTCAATTAGGTCAGAACATAACTGGGTTAGTATTGCTATTTGAGATGATGTGCAAGGCACTGTCAACATTAAAATGATGGTTAAGGAACAGATTGCGGTTTCCGAGTTTTAAACTGTATTAGAGTAGTATGTATCGCTCATGTAACGACTGAGGTTTACCCATTGTCTGATGCTGACAAACTACTTCCATGGCCTCCATCCTGAAATTCGTTACCATACTGATTTAAAACAAAAAAATCAGGGAAGAAATTGCCTGGTTTTATCCTTTGCAGTAATAATCACAACAACTTTCTTTGTTTGCTTTGTTTCACTCCTGTTTTTATAATTTACTGTATGAACAACTAGCTCGGGGAACTGACCCTCCGCTTCTGATTTATTCTAGTGCAAATGCCATTGGTGAGCCTAAACTAACTAGGTGACCCTCCCTGTTCATATCACCATTGGTGTCTGATATGTATGATAGTGATGTAATTGTAATGCCTTTGTTTTCTGCATATGATGCCTTTAAATTTCTAAAAATTTTCCTGCAGCGGTCTGACATTTTGTTCTTTGAGCAGCTGAAGCCTGTTAGAGGATGAACTGATGGGGATAGATAGATGTGCGCGTACACACTAACACTCTCTCTCTCTACTCTCTTCAGAGACTTTACTTTTATCTTTTCATGCTCTTTACCTTACCTAGAATAAGTCATTTTAGACCGATGGTATATAGTTGCTTTTTGGAATATTATATAGAGACCTAACAGGCTGTATAGATATGTACAGGATTGTTGGGAGACACACATCTAGAACGTTAATTACTCATATGAGCACTGGTGGTGGTTTGAAGATAGTATAAGAACCACCTGACTTCTCTATTGTTTGAGAGGTAATGGGGTCTAATGGCTAGCGCATGACCTGTCTTCTGTTACCAACTCTGCCACTGGCTGTTTATGGGCCTGGTCCAAAGCCAATTTGAGTCAACAGGAATCTCTACTGACTTCAGTGGGCTTTGGCTTGGGCTTCGTGTGATTTTGCACAAGTCACTTACTCCCTTTTTTAGATACCTGATTTGTAAAATGAGAATAATATAATTTACTCATCTCTTACAGTGCTTTGAGGTCTTCAGCTGAAAGACATGGCAGGAAAGTGCTGTGTATCATTATTATTGTTATGGTGAGAGTCGCTAGGTAGTGCTGTTACACACAGTCTTACAAGCTCTTTCTCTTTGTTGTTGGGCGGTGTACAGCCTCTGAAGAAACGCTTGTGTTTCGTGATGTAATTTCTTTTGGGGGGAGCTGTAGCAAGCGGCAAGAGTGACTCTCTAACTAGAGTCAATTCCTGGGACACAGTTGCTCCCTGGAAACCAGGCATTAGTATTTTGATTGATATCCCTGAAAAAGGGGTTGCCTGTATGCTAATGAATGCCTCTATTCTGGAACTGGTGTATGGAGGAAGGTACCATCCCATGGCAACCCGTTGGGGTCTAGGATGGCCCACAGTTTCCTTCTGAATTCCCAGAATAATCCAGTCACAGCCAAGGTCTTTGAAACAATATTCCACCTCTCCTGGTGTCTAATTTATTAAATATTATTCAGCTCCCAAAAGACCCCTTTCCACTCAGCCCTCAAATGTAGGGTCTCATAGATGTCCTTCTTGGGACTGTTTCCAGTCCTGGTCTCCCTGGCCTGTAGATTATCCCCTCAGGTTCAGGGCTTTCGCCTCCCTCCTTCCTGGGGCTGTGTCCTGGCTGAGTTTTCCCCCTCTCCAGCTTCTCTCTCCCTGACAGGCCTTGGAGCCTCCTTTTGAATTGCCTGCCCCATGAACTAATGAGTTTCTTGAGCCTCCCCAGGGGAGTCTAATAACCCCAACACCTGTTTGTTCAGGCTGAGAGGGAGGGAAGCCTTGTCGCGCCCACTGTGGCAGGCTCCTGGTCCCAGGCCCTTAAAGCAGCAGTGGTCTGCGATGCTGTGTGCCCGTGTATTTAAATACATTTGTACCCAAGTAGGTACTTAGGTATTTTGAAGCACTCTCCATACTTGTATGCAAGTGCTTTAAATAGTCTGTATTTATGTGCAATTAAAAGGTGTTTAAAGCTTAAAGCCTTTTTTTATCTGCAAGTAGTTTTTCAAAGCAGTTTTTTGAAACAATCAGATCCCTCCTAACTGTCCCAGATGCTGGTTGGCCCCCAGAGCTCACTGTCCCAGCTTGGAAGATCCAGACCATGAGGTCCGGCTGCCAGGTCATTTTTCTATTGGCACTGCTGTTGTACCAGCCAAGGAAGATGGCGGCCCAGCCCCCTTTGCTTTTGGTTGGTCACTAAACTGGCCATGAGGAGACTCGCTGTCCAGCCCAGCGGAGGAGTGCGTCGGTGGGGGTTGGGCAGAACAGGCAGACAAACGTCTGTGTCCTGCATTGAGAGAACCAGCCCAGTAGCTGCATCCCCTGTAGGGTGGGGTGGAAAATGCCTACTAGCCACTGGGCACAGTCCAGTGCTGAAGGGGCTGTTGGGAATATGGGAGTTGAAAGTACTGGCACTTGTACTTTTCCTTATAAATGTATAGGTACTATTTCCGCAGCGTACTCGTACTTATAAATACTCCTGTAATGGTGCACTTGGCACTTAAGTCCTTTTTATCAGTACTTATAGTAATTTTGACCTATATCTTCCCTGTCCCAGACACTAATTACACCCCGGGGCTGTATTCCTCCCTCCCAATGACTGCTTCCTTTGCTTCCCTGGACACATGGAATGGGGTAACAACCGCCTCTGTCCTTAAAGGGCTAGTACCCTCAGAGGCAGATTAGGGGTTTGTGGAGCCCTGAGCCAGAGCAAGTGGGGACCCCTCCCCACCCCTTCTGCCTGCAGTCCCCCCCCCCACACTGCCCAGCAGTCCTGCCAGAGAGCTGGGTTGGAGTGTGGGGGCTTTCCCCGCCCGCCCGGCACTCCGGCCAGGGAGCGGGGTTGGGACACGGGGGCTTCCCCTGCTCCCCATCAGGAGCGCTGGACGGGCAGAGCGAGGCAAGCTCCCATGCCCTGACCCCATTCCCCAGGAGGGTGGGTGAAGCAGGTCAGGGTGTGGGGGGTGCCCATTTTTCTGGGGGGCCCCCAATTGGCTGAGGGCCCCGGGCACAGGACCCGTTGGCCCAGTGGCTAATCCACCACTAAGTATCCTGTTTCAGTGTAAGTAAATCAAGTTACACTAGCAGAATACCCAGACTCCCAAGTCACTGATTTCTCCTCCAAGAGAAACCAACCTGCAAGCCCCCAACATCTGCTACAACTCAACAGGGAGTGACAATATTATTATTTGCCACTGTATAGCGTAGAGCCTGGAGTCATTGTGTATTTCTCAAAATGACTATTGTCTGATGCAAGATGCAGCTGGATGGTGGCATTGCCTCAGCTCCAATAATGCCTCTGGCATAAATTGCTGTACGTGCAGGGCACACGCTGAGACGAAGCGTTGCTGACTAACTTATTCCTGGGAGAAGACAAATAATTGTATTGAAATAATGCCTTGTTTATGAAGAAATCCTCCAGCTGCGTATTACCCCAGCTACCCTGGAATATGAATTGAACAATGGTTTGTGCTCCAGTACCTTGCACTGTTTTTGCAGTCTAACTGCGTCAGAGTCAAGTCTGAGGGTACTTAGTACAATGGGTTTTGACCAAAGAACCCCAAACTGTCATTAAAGGGACCCTGTCAATTTAAAAGTCAATAATAAAGAAATAATAGCTAAACAAACAAAACTATATCACCCTAAAATATTTTGGATTAGTATCAGTGAAGGAATTAGAAAAAAATCAACTATGCTTCTTACTACTTATGCTTTTTGATACGTTGTGTATTTCTGAGTTTGGACAATAAAACCCAGTGAAGTCTTTTGTTTGTAGCCAGTTTCACTGTTGGATATTTGGTGCACCAATGTTTTGGGGTGTCAGATGCTGCAGGAGAGTGTTATATGTTTAAAAGCAACTGTCTTCATTGAAATATAGATATATTTTAATTGGAGAGACTTTTTCTTTTGATTTTAGGATTTATAAAAGCTTTTTTTTTTTGGCCAAATTTAGTCTGTGTCCCTTTAAATGCTGTCTTTTTTTACAAAACTGACTGAAAAATCCAGGGCTAAATTAAGCTAATTGAAGACTTTAAGAGTTAAGTAAAGACATTAGACCATTTAAAATGTACTTTATCCTTCATGGTAAACCAAACTCGATTTACAGAGCCAATGTGCGGATCTGTGGTGTGTGTTCTATATAAGCTGTGTTCCTAAATGGAAACCTAAAGAAGTATTGGAACCATCTGCTTATTGTAGTGATATTTCATAGGCAGCCCAACTAAGAATTACAGCTTTGCATTTCCACAGGACTCTGCCACTGAATTATTTACAAAGTTGTTCAGTTAAATGAATGGGTTGCTGTGGCTTGCAGCTCTCCAAAGGATCCCTCTGCAGTTTCGGATGGAACGTTGACCATAGTAACCTCCGCCTGTACCCTTTGTAAAGTTTTGTTCTCTTACATTGCAGGAAAGAAAAAATCCAAATTTCAGACTTTCAAGAACTTTTTTGCTAAGAAGAAAAGGAAAGAATCTCCAGCTCCCAGGGGGGAGAGTAATTTAAAACCAAGCCAGTCCAGCAGCGATGTCAGCATCCCTGCGCTCGATACTATTGCTCTTCATTCACCAACTGAGCCGGGGTAAGCTTGCAGCGAAACACAAAAATTACCAGGTTGTGCAGACATTTTGCAGCAATCGCATGAAAGCATGAGCTGGCCCCTAAGGAGAAACCTCTGTCCAAGTTTGTGCAAAACAAGTCCTAACGCTGCTGATGGAATTTCAGGAATTTCCTTTTTCCTTTGAAACGGGCTCCAAAAATCAGCATAGGAGGGAAAATATATCCAACTGTTTAGCCTGTAAAACTGCAGATAGACCAGAATTTATTGTTTGGTGTTTGAAATCCACCCTGGCAAGTCTTACCAGCAATGATGTTAGAGTAAGTGGTGATCTGAGTACTACTGATACAGAGAATGTACATGAAATCAGATGGCTGTTTCTTAGCATCAATGGAGCCTGTGTGGATTAACCTGCCTCATGACTGGGGCAAAGGAAAAGAATTTAGAAGCAGAATCTCTGCCTTAGAGATCCACTTAGTTAATTTTCTTATGGCAAAGCTGACAATTAGGGCTAAATTTTTTTTAAAGGCCTCTAATTTTGCACCTGCAACCACATGCACGTAGTGTGGCAAGGGAGACATTACACATCTGTGCTGGGTACCCCTTGGTTTGAATTTGATTCTGAATATTGTTATGTCCCTTCCCAAAGGAGTTGTTGTTATTTCTTAGTTAAGGAGACATGCACAAACCTATTACAGATACCACTGTCCTCAGGGGCACGTATTGCCACAACATCAGCAAATCATACAGTAGAACCTAACCATTAACAACCAGCAAGACATTTGAAAATTCTTTTAAAAAACAAACAAACAAACCTGCAAAAATATTAAAATCAATGTGCCTCCCCCTTGTTTCAATATAAGTATTTGATCAGTTCTCTGTTGAAACAATCCATGTAACTGTTTACTTTCAAACCCAGCCTGGAACAAATTAGTTAAACATGTCTGTTTAGGAGGACCGATGAGTTATGTGGGTGCGCGCTGCATACTGGGCAGTAGGCCGGAATTTGGGGATCTGACAGGCCTTGGCTTGTTAGCATAGCAATGACAGAGGGAGTGATTATACATAGGGTAAGAGGAATTATACCCACACAACTAACCTATCAATTCTTGTTAGCTGATGCACAGAGTGGAAATGGTGCAGATTCATAAGAATGTTACTGTCTATTCCAAGTGCAAAAACGAAGAAGAGATTTCTCTCTTGCAGTTAATCCAGCTCACCATACCCAAGGGCTCTTTATCCCAGCATTATCATCCACGGATTATAAACTGAAGTTAATATTGTGCAAAACTAGAGTTTAGGAAGTGGGTAAAACTCTATTGTTATAAGAAATAAAATTGAGTTGATTATCTATTTAAAAAAATCCATTTTTTGTGTTGTTCAAAAATCTGTTCATACCCAGATATCACACTGAGTTGGGTGCTTTATAAATACCTAGAGAAACTAAACAAGCTAATTCTTTAACGGGTCTGTTCTTGAACATGCAAGGGACTCTATTGAAGCCAACAGGAATTTTGCATGTGGAAGGCTTGCAGAACTGGGCACCGAGCTTTGTAATTCCTGGTATGTAGAATACCAAAACAATCCCGGAGCTGTGGTTTTGGTGTTGGTGGGTGTGGCAGATTTACCATGTCATCTTTTTTTATAGTTTAATTAAAAATATTAACGATGGGCCAGACCCCCAGAGGTATTGAGCGCCTCCCATACAAGCCAGTGCAATGGTAAGGAGAGTTCTGTCAGCAGAGCTTCCATAGAAACCCAACTGTCCCTGAGTTGGTGGGAATTAGGGAGGCAGGCTGGCAGTGGGGGCCAAGGGCAGGGGGGCTGGAACAGTTTTTATAGTGGGGAAGCTGAGAGCCTTTGAACCAAACTGTAAACCCTGGATATAATGGAAACTACTTCAAGCCAGGAGGTATGGCAGCACCCTGGTTCGAGTACCTATGGCCAAGGGGCCTCTGTGTGGTTGCCCCTTGAACTCTGAGGTCCATGGGATGAAGATATGGGATGGGAACTCCTCCTTGATGACTAGAGTTGCCAATTTTGGTTGGATGAAGGTTTCATCACATGACATAATCTTTAATTAAAAATTAATCTTTAATTCCTGGAGATTCCAGGACAACCTTGGAGGCTTGTCAACCCTAGACAGTCCCAGCTCTAAACCTGTCACCCCTCCCATGTATCCCCTTGGTATCACCCCCTTTTTGTTTTGTGCCGCCTTCTACCCCTTCCTTTTGCAACTCCACCCCTCTTTCTTGTGCGCCACTCTCTCCTCATTCCAACCACTGCTCAAACATGCTGCTTTCATAAAAGCATCCATCAATCACCCACCCGAGAGTATGCATTATACACACACACCCCATGCTGAGATTAAACCACCAGCTCATACTTAGAAACCCCTCAATGGATTTCATTTGGAGCAGGATTATTTAGGACCAAGTTCTCCCCTCAGTTGGTTTTACCCACTTAGTGGAGCAGAAATTAAGCAAACTCCAACTCATGGAGTTTCCTTTTAAATTCTGTCTTCATGTTCATGCTGCTTTAAGTAACAGCATCTTGGTGGGAATGCATGTGGCTGACTCATATATTTATATAGGGAAACTGGGGTAGAAGTATAATGGCTAAAACATCTGTTTTCTCTTTTTATTGGCTAACAATGCAGCTTTAGATTTGGATGCAAATATAAATACACTGCATGGGATTACACTGTGAATATACTGTATGTAGGAAAGCGTGTCCTACACTCATCTCTCCTAGACCAGCAATTCATTCTAAAGTTACTTTTATGCTCCTATTGTCAGTGCCAAAAGAAAATGTAGAAAGTCTTCTGCAATGACATATATATGTGTGTATATATGTATTTTTTAAACATCTATGGTGCTGGCAGCAGCGCAGTCTCCAGAACACGCAAACATCTGCCGCTCTTTCTAAAGGACTCCAAATAAGTACAGTAAGAACATCACTGTTTTAAAAAGAGATTAATACATGGCCAGACCCAGGATCAGTTCTAAATAAATCAATAAAGAACAACGAGCATCGGTATTAATTTATATTCATTAAAAACCTAATTGACACCATCTTTCTAGCCACAGCATAATAGCTTCAGTAATTATCTTGCCTGGGTATAGTCCTTTCATTCAGAAGGTGCTTGTATAAAAATTGATATACACAGTGTAAAAACTTAGGGATTACCTAGAGGGTGAAGGCAGGCAAGTGTTTATCAGTGCACTGCAACGCTACACAACAGCTCAAGATAAACATTAGCAAGCTGATAATGCTAAAGGAAAGGGGAAGAACATGAACTCTGGCCCTGGCTTTTAGTGTAAGAGCACAGATTAGTTCTGGATAGGACAGTAACGTGCAGCAAGATTGCTGCACATGTCCTGGGGGAATGCTTTCAGACTCAGCCTAAGCATATGGTTGGCTACATCTCAAATGGCAAAGTGAAGTTAGCCAAGCAGGCACTGCAGGTGTCATTCCCCAGTGTTGTGAGAAGAAGATAGTTTTGCTGTAGGGCAGGAGGAGTAAAGGTTTTTTTTTTTTTAATTGTGTATTCCTTTATGAAAAGTCCCCTCTCTCTGTCCCAGAGTTTGTTTTGGAGGTAAAGAGGGAATTTTAGGTTATGAGACTAATGGAAAACCATACCCCCTCCCCATTCTATCTGGAATCCCCATATAAAGCAAATGTTGGATAGAGTAGGAGATTTTCCCAGACAGTTTTGTGGTAAGGGATTGTCCCTCGTCACTTCCATTTACCCTGAGTCAATCTGCTAAATGCAATTTACCTTGCCTGAAAGGCAGCTGGGCCAAGAGGTTTAGGTCTGGCCGCAGGAGAGAGCTCTTTGTGTCTAGCTAGGTGCTGGTGTGAAATTTTGATGCAACCCATGTTTGTTGCCTTTTAGACAGGGAATGTACAACTACAACCTGTCTATACAGCATCTGTAACTGAACGGGCCTGGTTACAACTCAGTTAATAGCTGTAGCACAGACAGGAGCTAATCATCTCCCTTAGCCAAGCTAAACCTCTGGAGAGCGTAGAGCTGGACTCAGGAGGAGACCTAGGTGAAATTTTTTGTCAGAAACCTTTTTTTGTTGTTATTGCAAAAAATGCAGATTTGGCAACACGGAAATGCTTCACTACATTGAATCAATTTTACCCAAATTGTTCAAGTTGGGGGGGAAAATTCTGTAAAAATCGAAAAGTTTGTTTTTCATCTTGAAATGACTTTTTGTTTAGAAATCTCCATCAATTTTACTAAAGACCAATTACAAACATTTAAAAAAAAGCTCAAAATGAAATGATTTGTTTGACTTGATATTATTATTTTTTATTTGCCACCTACCTAAAAAATCCGTTATTCATCCAACTGTACTTGGGAGGTGTAACTGGGTCCCCTGCCCTGGCTCTAGTTGTATTGTAGATGGGCCTTGGACATATTTAAAATGTAGATTGGAACTATATTTGTGGTCAAATCATGTTATAACAGTTTCTCTTTGCTTATGTGGACAGAAAAAACCCTGTTAGGGAACCATATTTTAACCTCGATGCGTGCCAGGGTTTGAACTCGATTTGTGTGTGTGCTTCCATCTGCCCAGAAACCGGGGCTGATCTGACCCACACCCAGCTATGAAGGCCCAAAGGGGCTGTTCGAGCAGCCAAGAACAGCTGGACAGAGGGATGCCCCCAGTCTCCTGCAAGGGCATAGTATGGAGCTGCTACAATGGCTGCATGCCACTCAGAGATTCCTCCTGCACTGGAGGAGTTTCCCAGTGACTGTATTAGCCCTCTGCATGGGTGATGTGGCATAAAGGAGCCTTATTGGAATGGAGAATTGGGCTCAGATCCTGCTGTTCTGATGGATTATAGGCCATGTAACCCTGGACTCTGGGGGGAAGCCTTGCATTAAAGGACAGGGGTTTTCTCTAACAACAGTGTAAAATGTAACTTTCCCTCAAGCTAGAGGAGCAGGGCCATACGTGGAGTTGCCATGGAGAAAACAAAAAAGCAAACCGGCAGTAAGAAGGGAGGGAAGATTGCAAAGGGGACTTATCCCTGTGACATGCTTGTCTTTGAAGCCTTGCTGGCAAGGCCCAAAGTGTGAGTGAGTCAAGGAGTTTATTATTATTGTTATTAATTACTTGTATTATGGTAGCACCTAGAGGCCTCAGCTGAGACCAGGGCTTTATTTGTGGTAGGGACTGCACAAACACATAGTGATACAATCCCTGCCCCTAAGAGCTTACAGTCTAACTAGACAAGACCCACAAAAAGTGGGAGGGAAAACAGACGCACAGAGAATGACTTGCCCAATGTCACCCAACAGATCAGTGGCAAAGGTAGGAATAGAACCCACCTCTCCGGATTCCTAGTTAAACGTCCTGACCGCTCTGCCCCTTAAGGTGGCTGAATACAGGAATGATACGAAATTTTGGAGATGGAGATAATGGGCTCAAAGATCTTCCCTCCCTTTCAGATCCAAAGGAAGCATGGGAAACAAAGCCTTGTCACATGACAGTGTCTTTATTTTTGAATCTACGCCAGAAAACACAGCTGGTGACATGTCCTCTCAGGAAAACATACCTGGGAAAGTGAAAACATTACAGGTAAGAGCACGTTCCATGTTCACAAGGCTGGATAATTTACTGCTTGTTAGCTGCCATGCTGAACACTTGCTTGGATCCGCTCTCCAGCTGATTCCTCAAGGCGTATGGCAGAGAGTTGGAAAATAGATGTACTGTTGTTTGAATCTGTTCTGCTGCTTAGAAATATATATATATAAGCGGCACCAGTGTGTTCAGCCTTGTGCTGGTTACTCCGGTGACAACCCCTGCCCCCAAGACTTCATAACCTATATTCTTTCCGAGGTGAGTAGTTCCTCTTCGCAAGGACCTTCCATTCTTTATTTCATAGCTTCTGCCTTTTGGTTAAGGCTATTTGTTTATATTGAAATGTATCCCTTACACTGAAGCTGGGAATGGGTGACGGGATGGATCACCTGATGATTACCTGATCTGTTCGTTTCTTCTGGGGCACCTGGCATTGGCCACTGTCGGAAGACAGGATACTGGGCAAGATGGACCATTGGTCTGACCTAGTATCGCTGTTCTTATATTCACTGGTATTATTTTAAAGGCATCCCGCTGCTCCAGTTCTGCCATGAGATGTTTTTTAAATGGTTTTTATTGTATTGTCCAGCACCACTGTGTGTGTGCATGAATGTGTTGTGGAATGACAGATGTGTCAGGGCATTCTTAATAACAGCTTTATTTATATCATTATTCTTCCTATCGCTGTCAGCTGAGGACACTCTGTTCTCCTAGGTCATTTCCTTCTTCCAAAGCACATGCTGAACCCTCCTTGGCAACCTCCTTATCAATTTTTGGGTATTGCACTCTGAGAGCTGCCCGACATAAACCACAAAGATAAAAGTTTAAGGTTTTCCCGGGGATTGAAGCAAACTGTTGATAATGCAGTCCAAGGCCGCCTACAGGCCTTCATTGGTCAGCATGAACCACGGTTGCAAAACAAGGTTGCATCACATGTTAAATAGCAGGAGATACGCAGAGGGACCTCTTCACGAAAATACAGATGAGGCCAAGTTTCAGTTCAAGATATTACTTGCAAAACAATGGGGTCAGGGGCGGGGGAGAATAATAATTTCATAAGGCAGGACCTTTGGGGGCAAAAGCTCCTTTCCATTTGTTTAATCTGATTCTGTTATCTCCATCCCCTTGACTCCTCTTCCCTCAACTATCCACGACGCTGCATAGTAACAGAGTGCTGCCAGGGATATTTTTATAGTCAAAAGGGAGAGTCTGTTTCCTTTAACTTAACTCTCATTTGGTGAAAAAGCTGCGCACCAATAAAACCAGATAGTTCTTAGTAACAGTAGATTGACTTTTGCCAGCACAAGAGGGATCGTACATTTGCATTTCTCCTGTAATGTCTTGCCCTCTGCATTTAATAAATAATGGTGGGCAGGGTTTGTAAAATATTAGGGAAGCAGATTTTACTCCCACTTAGGGAGTAGATGTGCAGATGTGTCGTGGGTCTCATTTGCTTGCTGCATTCATTGCATTCTTTGAGCAGCTTGTCATTTGTCTAGCATTTGCAGATTGTCTTGCTTCTATTTCTCTGATTGGTTTGGGGTAAATCTGTGGGGTGCTTGGGCAGATGTGGGAGAATCTGAATAAGAAGATAGTAGAACAGAGGCTTGACGAGGAGCAGATTTACCATTAAGCACACCGTGCGATGACAGGGGGCCCCCCAAAATGCGACAAGCGCAGCAGGGCTCAGGCAGGCTGCCCGCGCTGCTCCCAGAAGCGGTTGGCTGCTGGCACGTCTCTGCATGCCCCTGGTGGGGGGAGGTGGCTCCGTGCACTGCCCCCACCCCAGGCAGCGCATGGAGACCCGCTGTCCCCCAAGGGGCGCACAGAGACTAAGCAGGGCTAAGATGGCTCCCTGCCCGCTCTGCCTCCCTCCCTCCGCGCCGCACTGCTCCTGGAAACGGCCGGCATGTCCCTGCGTCACCGCGTATTGCCCCTGCCCCAAGCGCCGACTCCGCAGCTCCCATTGGCTGGGAATTGCGGCCAATGGGAGCTATGGGGGCAGCGCCTGCGGGCAGCGGCGCATGGAGAGTCCTGGCGCCCCCCCACCTAGGAGCTGCTGCCAGAGGGGTGTGCCGGTCGCTTTGGGAGCCATGCCGTCTGAGGTAAGTGCTGCCCCCCTCCCGCACCCCAGCCCAGAACCCACACCCCGCACCCAAACTTCCTCCCAGAGCCCACATCCCTCACCCCCTCCTACACCCCAACCCCTGCCCCAGCCCAGAACCCACACCCAGCACCCAAACTCCCTCCCAGAGCCCGCACCCCACACCCCCTCCTGCACCCCAACCCTCTGCCCCAATCAAGGTACCACATTTTATTTTCATTTACTTCCTATTACTTACAATATAGGAGGGGGATAAAGAAAAAAAGAATGAAAAATGGGGGGAGATAAGAGAATGTTCTTTTTCTTGGCTGGGTCCGGAGGGGGGGCCCCCGAAAATGAAGTGCGCACTGGGCCCCACTCACTCTAAATCCACCACTGGGCTTGACTCCCTGTTGCTCTTTAGTCGTTCACACCCATACATTTGAGAGCAATGCAGGTGTAAAATGCTACCACATTAGAATAGTAGCATTTTACGTCCATTTTGCAGAGGTGTAAATGACCGTATAGCGTGAGGGGCAACAGAGAATCAGCCCCTAGATCTTTGTAAACTCCCCAGCCCGTGGTTTGATAAGCAAATGACCATAGGTCCTGGTCTCTGTCAGGAGTCCTTAGATGAGCCATTTTTAGTTGAAGGACAAAAGTTCTCTTCAGACCTTGTCTGTGTTCCAGCCCTGACATAGCTGACTCCAAGAGCTTTAGAACCGGTGTTTCCTGAGATTTGTTTTTTTGTTGTGTGTTTTAAGAGGGAACATCTGTCCGCTTGTGAGGTTGCAGACTTTGGGTTTATTTTTGTTCTCTGCCGCGCCCCTCCCCCCCCCCCTCCCCCGGATCAGACTGGTCCTAGCATTTTTTGGGCAGCCTTGCAAAACAATTCACACCCTCTCTGACAAACATGGGGGAGAGTTAGTGAGATGATCCCACAAATTTTAAAGAACTCCCTTTGTATAAAATGTCTGTGTGAGAGCAATTCTTCCTGTCAACACCTTCCTTCTTGGTGCAGAAGTGGGGCCCCGCTGCTTGTCGGGGGTTGGGGCATAGCAGTCATTTTTTTGCAAAGGAATTTTTTGAAAAGGACAATTGTCCAGATAAAGCCACGGTTCTAGGAGCTACCAGCCCTCCAAACTCTGGAGGATTCTGTGTGCATTCTGGTAAATGCCATCACTTGTAATTCTTTACCAACACTAGCTAATTAACCATCACCTCGGTAAAACAGGCAACTGTTACTTTTAGTGATGAAGAAAGATTAAGTGACTTGACCAAACGCACAGAGTTAGGTCTAGGTGTGGGCAGATGGTGGAAGTTGACTAGGGGTTAAGGTATAAACTGAGAATTCAAAATAGGGGGGGATGTACAGCATGAACACCATGTGTTGTAATAATCTGGCTGTGGTTCTGCTGGGGATGGTGAGATGTCAGTCTGTAATAATCTGCTGAATTAAATTGTTTTTTCAATATTTTGTGTAGCAGCCAGTGTTCATGGAAGGTCCTGGAAGAATGTAACTAAATATAACTTCACTCTTTACTAAGCTTTCTGGATGGCCCTTTCCTTTGTATACTCCTCTTCACTAAAAGCTTCTGTCTGGTAGCTGACGTATCTTGGGTAGAATTATACGTAATGAAGGTTTCTTCCGTATAGTTAAAGCTATTTTAAGATTGTGTATTATGTTTCCCTTCGCCCCACAGCTCCAGTTACAACAGAACATCAGACTTGGGTCTTCTCCTCTTGTTATAACTGGCAGGAAATTGGAAGATACAGGTGCTGTTTCAGAAGATGATGGATTACCTAAAAGCCCTCCAGAAATCTCCACTCTTCATGAAGTTCTAACATGTTCACCAAGCAAGGTATGTTCATCATGTCACCTCAGTACTAGAGGAATAAATGGAATTGCCTGTGTAGAATAATGAAGTCTGCAGTCAAAAAATGCTTTACTATAAATCATTATTCTTATTTCAATGCCATCTTTTATGTGGGTTCATTTGTACAAAACCTGTGGTTCTCTGATTTATCATGCATCGTGGTTTCCCTCTTTCAAATTCAATACCAGAATCAGAAACCAACAAAAAACTTTTTTTTACGTTTGCAAGTCAGTGGAAGAGGAGGTTATTAAAAAATGGTTTACAGAAGTTGAGTTATTTCTGGAAGTATAAAACACACACACAAACGTATATAGATCTATTAAAAAAAATCAAATCTGCTGTAGATTAAATCCAAAGTGAGTAGAGTTGGTGCAAGGAATTTTTTTTTAAACTGACAGACCTACAATTCTAGGTCAACAATGGCCCCTTATATATATATCTCATTGAAGATCCATCACTAAGTTAGAGACAGGAATGCTCAAGGTCCAGTGGTGGGAAATCGGTTTGGGCAGTCACCGAGTGTTTAAAGGCTATTTTGTATTTACATGTAATTAAAACAAATCCAATTGTCAAACATACCTAAAGAAAAGCAGGCATTCTGGGGTACTTGTGGATGTGTACCTGCACCATACTTAAATCCTGGTCCATCTCTGTATATTACTATAAAAGATATTAGTAACTGAGAGGATGTTCCTGATTCAATTTAAAATTCAGGCTTTAAAAATCCGTCCTTTCCACAAAATATTATAATAATAACAACCATCTACATCTCCAAATGCGCAGGGATAGACAAACAGTCTTCAGAAAATACCAACCATGTAATAGCAGTCCTTGAAATACACAAAAAGTTAGAGTGTTCTGTGCTTATCTCTTAAAGAATTATACAAAATTGTTAAGGATCAAGTTAGAACAAACTGTGCTTTTAACAGTCTTGAAAACTAGTAGAAACATTGAAAGGTGAAACACTGCTGGGAAAGATTAAGGTAGTTGGAAGATTTATATAAAAGTCATAAAGACAACAAAAAAGTGAATTCATACTTCAACTCTGAGTTTAATTAGGGCTGAAGGGAAGAACCAAGCAAAGGAATTTATGCAGCTGATGAAAACAGAATCATAGCCTTTAATAACGGAAGACTCCTAGCTGGCTTGAAAACTTATCTAACAAAAGATGGCACTATTTGAAACCCCCTGATTTGGTTGCTGCAATACACGAGGGGCCAAATTCAGATCTGTTATAACACAGTTGAAACAAATGGAGTTCTATCTGCTTATGTCCAGTCTGAACTTGGCCAGAGATCCCTAAATGCTCCAAGATTCTGGAGCAAAGATGTGTCTCTCAGTGGAAAGCAAGGGCAATATTCATCTTTGAAAAGCCTCAGTAGAGGCTACTCAGAACATAGATGTGCCATTCCATGGGCTAACAGGCCAAATCTGGAATTCTCTGGCAGTGGCCTACAATGTATCTGCTGCATCAGAGGAAGGTGAAAAAAATCCAGAATATTCCCGTACAGTTGTGCAGTGCTCAATGTAAGCATGGTAACTTCAACAAAAAGGCAGAGCAAGGAGAAAGTGTGTCTGGATTTGCATCGAGAGAGAAAGCAAACAAAGAGGATTTAAAAATGTTTTAAGGTACTCGAGTAACAATGGATAGATCAAGATGCAAAACAGATGGAAATACCAGACATGTGGAAGAGGACTTGGTCCCAGTGGCAGTTGTGAGTAACAAGGACCATTGGCCGCAAAGAGTTGTTGTTGCAGAACATTTGTATGTATCCAAGAAAGAAGCTTGGGAGCATCATGGTGAACTGTTTATACAGCAGTAGAGAGAATGGTTTGAAGATGTGGGGGAAACATGCCAGTATTTTGTTTCAGCACTGGGACTACGATAAGTGGATGCCTAAGTAAGACCTGGAACTCACGTGTTTAAAGATGGAGAAAAGCACATTAGCATGAAGCAGAGTTCAATTTGAAAAGGACAGGTTGAAAAGGGGGCTGTTGTAGTAAAGTCTTGGTAGTAAATAACTTCCTTTGTGGGGGGGGCGGGAGGAGGAAAGCATGCATTTATCTAGGTGTTCTGCAAATAATAAAATACTTCGGAGCACTTTTAAAGAGTGAAACTGATCTGTTAATAAGGTTTCTAGAGCAGTCTGCCTAGTTCCACGATAAGTTGAACAATACATTTATATCTGGACTGTGGTTTTTTTTTTTAAAGTATTTTACAGAATGCTCTAGCAACAGAATGTTAGCATATGATGATTATCCACTGATCAGAGAAGTACATTTAAGTCAAATCTCTTTGCACACTTTGGACAGAATGATTGATCTGCTGTTGTAGGAGAAATAAACATCATTCTTACTTTGGTTCATTATAGTCTTATTGTTTCCACAAGTGAAAATGTCTTAAGGTTTAAAACTGTTGCCTTCTAGAAGTTTGTCAGTTGTGTTGAATTGTGCAGTGGTTGTTCTTAGGCCATATAGGGAGAGGAAGAATGATCCAGTGGTTAGGGCTCTAATCTGGGATTTGGGAGACCTATGTTCAGTTTCTTGATCCTACAGCCTTCTTGTGTGACCATGAAATAGTCACTTAGCCTCTCTGTGCCTCTTCCTTTGTAAAATGTGAATAATAGAACTTCCGTACCAGATGGGTGTGTCGTGAGGATAAATATATTCAAGATTGTGAGATTCTCAGCTGCTTCTGTAATGGAGGCCATAATAATAACTCAGATTGAAACAGCACAGGAATGAGAGACATTGGCAATTTGACTAAACCCATATGTGAAGCAGACAGTGCTATGAGACACTTTCTCATCCGAATCAATCTGATTCAAAGGAGCGAGATCTTTTTCAAGAACTTTCTTCCTACTTTAAAAAAGTTTCAACAATATTTTAGTGGGAGGAGGCATTTGAGTGAATCTAATCATAGTTGTAAATCTGAATATCTAACAGTGGCAGAAGGTCAAAATAACTTTTAAAACACTATAGGCTCAATTCTCCACTAAGGTGTATGTCCCCTTACTGCATATATATCTAGGCACTGTGCTTCTGTACACTGTCCCGTCTACACAATATGAATCTGATAGCGGGATACAGGTATAAATGTATGTAAGGTCCTGCCCCTTGTGTCTGATCACTGATGAGGAATGAACAAATGACCGAGAGGCTATGCTATGAATTAGGAATCCTGCAACGACCCCTCCTAAGTTTTCCTTTTGTATTTTCTCATAATTATGCTTTTGTATCAGTCCCAGATATCTGTGTGTAATGCTTCCCTTGACTTACCCTTTTCCTTATTTTATCCCACAGTCCTCCAACCCTGTTCAGCGCCATAGCTCTTTGAGTTTAGGTGGGACAGACAGTGAAGATGAACAGGTAAATAGTCGCTCTTCCTGTTACTAAAGTTTTCTGAGAAAGTGCATACAGGGTCTGGTATGAAGCCAAATATGCACCACATACTACTGCTATATCTCTTCTGGGTAAAAAAATGCCACAGTGAACTGTGAATGTGACAGTTCATGCACGTGTGCTCAGAAAGACACGTGTCAGAATTTTGAACAAACAAGTTCATAAAAATGTGAAGTCTGTTTGCAGATAATGCACAAACAGAAAGAGGGGCTGAATTCCACTAATAAGTTGTTCATGTGAATAGCTTAGCTGTCTCTAGTGACATACTACATACTCTGTTGTGTAACTTAGCAGGCATTGTTCAAATTAGCAGGCACAATATAATATTGCAAAACAATTCACTCCCCTATATACACAATGAAGCCCTAACAGCAGCCACTGCTCAGTGAGTCATCAGAAGATTGTTGGGGGAAGATTGTTGGGGACACTCTACTCCTCTCTGACAGATGAGAATGGCTAGAGGGTCGGCATACATAAAGCTCTTGACCCTTTCTAAAACCTGGGTATCCTGGGGAAAAGGAACTGAGCTAAGCTGCAGCCTGTGTTTAGTATATAACTGATAACTAGGAGCAGTTAAAGTTAGCCCAGCACAACCTATCCCTGACCGAAGAAGGGGAAGGCTTAAGCCAGCTCTCCTCACCAGTATATGTGCTCGAAGAACAGGCCCAGGTGACTCTCCCCCAGGCCTTCCCTGCTGATTGCAGAGCAAGAGGGCACGTTTCCACTGACAGTAGCCTACTTTAGCCATTGAAGGCAGACCTAATGGTGCAGATTTGCGTTTTCAGCCACCCACTCTCCAGCAGCTAATAAAGTGGCTGGAAAACGATTCGACCCTCCCCAGGAGGTCCCCAGGTGACCTCGGACCTCAAATGCCAGTTACAAGAATGGCCATCACTTATAAATAGGGCTGCAGAAGTGCTTGCCTACCCCATGAGATAGCCACTGCCTAGTTGGAGGGCTCTTCCTACTCCCTGGCTACACCCCTAGCACCAGACATCTCCATGCCAGCCTGATGGAGAAGAAAGGGAAGGGGCGTTTCGTGGGGTCACAACAAATGCTGATCTGGCTGAAGTGGCGTACTGCCCGTCCCATATGGAAAAACTGCCAAAAAGAAGAAGAATTAACTCTTCAGCTCTCTAGTAGGAACTGCAAGTAAGGCCAAGGCAGCATGGTGGCAGAAAATTGTGTACAGCCCCGTGCACCCTCCCGAGGGGTCTCCACTCACAGGGCCCTACTCAGGCAGAGCAGTGTCTCCAAGGCCAAACCCTCAGTCTCTAATCAAACTGCTCAGGAGGCCTTCTCTTCCCTTACACCCTCTCCTGCCACTAAGCCTCTGAGGAGGATGGGAGAGGAGGGTGTTTTCCCAAGACTGACCCTGCTCCTCTGCCTGTGGTTGAGAGCAAGTACTGCCTCGCCTGGTAGTTTCTGGATTTATCGCTTTCTGGAGTGGGAGGGGTGAGGGGGGATGCGAGGCTCTTTAGGAATGGCAGGCCTCTGCTCTCTCCCTGAGACTGCCTTCTCTCTTCCCCCCAATTGCTGCTCCACCCAGAAAGCTATATCTCCTAGTGGGTCACAAACTGGACTGGGCAAATAATCCTAAAGTCAAAGTGGTCCAAGTAACTTGCACTTGTTTTTAAAAAAAAAAATCTCATTATGTGTATTGAATCCATGGTTCAACTAATGTTCTACCAGTTCTAGTCAAAATCAGTCCCTTTGCCCATTTATATTAGCCAGACTATCCTTTCCGTAGCCTGGCTACTGGTGGTTCCTTTTAATTTTTCCATGGAAAATATCTGCTTCCTGCTGACCATGATTTCCTTCCCTCCTATTTGCCTGTTTCATGTCCTGGTCTTCTGTGCAGAAAGGGGGGGAAGCAGGGAAGAAGAGAAATAACTTTCTGTGGTGCACAGAGCTCCACTACTTGTCAGCTCCTGCTTTCTTCCTCCAATTGCCGGGAAGCCATATAGGCTTTTTCTCTTTCTTCACAGTGCAGCATCTGTCCCTTCTCCCAAAGATTTTCTCAACAGCCTAGCTTGATGTTGTATTTACATTTATTTTAAATTAAAACGTCTTCCCTTAAACAATCATCAATCGTGCAGTAACATTCGTACCCTTTGCTTTTACTATCAAGCTCTGAATTAGTAGAGCAGTAAACCAGTAAACTGAACAGAACAGCAATTATAAATCCATAGCTAGTTGTTCCGTTTAACAGAATTCCCTTTGCTTCGTGCTAAGTAAAGAACAAGTGGCCTTGATCACAGTCCTGGCTTAAGTGGATTTCACACAGTGTAATGGTTTGATCTTAGCAGTCTGCTGGGTTTGCTGAAATGGATGGGTAACGTGACAACAAAGCCTCCACTGGCTTCCAGGATTCTCTGAGTGCTTCTGCTGCTGTCTTCATCTTTAGGAAGCTCTCAGGGGGCATGTGTGTGACTCCCATTAGTGGCCTAAGTATTTATAAATGTACACTTCCTGACTGTTTAAAAGATAAGGATGGGCTGTTATTCCAAAAACATCACAGCAAATCTTTTTTTTCTCCTTTCCCTCTTCCAGAGCTTTCACCCAGGGCTAAACTCCTTTGCCAAATGGCTGTTACAGCAATCTAACTTCCCTGTTGGCTGCTTTAACTCTAATTAATTAAAGAGCAAAGCGAAGTCCAACACACAAGGAAAGTTTCCTGGCCCAAACACTTCTCAAGGAAAATCCTCTCTAGTTGCAACATTTTCCTTCTGCTTGAATTCCAGTTACAGCACAGATGTCTTCCCTAATCATCTAACCCAAACTTCCCCCTTTTACCTTAAAACAAAGCACTAAGGAGACAGTTTTCTATCTACTCTTCTTTAAACTGCCCCAGAGAAGAGGAAATCACCATCCAATCAATGTTGGGGGGTGGGGCAAAACATCCACTGAGAAAGCAATATAGCAGTTCATGTCCATTAAAGAGCAGGTTTATCATCCCTAGAGGCAGATTTTCCGCTGGTGTAAATTGTCATAGCTCTGGAGTCCCTGTGAAGACCTCCTCTAGCCTCAGGTTTCAGTAAAAGTTGACAGCCTACGAAAAGAAGATGGGTCACTGTGTCTTACAGAACAAAAATAAGCAAGTACTATTAATTGTTTTGTCCACAGATAAACTAGAGTTTCAGAGTTTGTGCCTCTTGAATATGTGGCGATGCATCACATATCTTGTAAAATCAGGTACTGGTGCAGAGATAAGCCCAGCAGCTGATTTTACTGTATAAACCAGCGTGTCACTGGCTACAGGATCTGGCCTTTCATACATGAACTCAGAGTGCCACAGTCATTTAAAAACTGTTAGAGGAAAGAACTTGTATGAGGGAAATGAGCAACAGTTACTGTTTTCTTTTTCTAAGATTTGCTGAACCTATTATTATAATTTTACAGGACCAATAATAGTTTGCTGCTTTAGTTCTTTTAACTTCTCCTGAATTTACACACTGTGAAAAAGAGAACCTAAAACGGAATTAATCAATTCAGTGTTGATTTTGTTTTAGCTCCATGAACTTAAAAAGTCAACAGTGATTAAGAAAGTGGGAGTTGCTTTTCTTTTTCTTAAAATGAAAAGCATGTAATGTATATACCTAGACTAATACTGCAGATCAGACGGGGAAAGCCTTTTAGAGCACAGCTCCAGTTCCAATCTTGCATTTAAAAAACAAGCTGAGAGTGAGTACTTTCCTACAATCAGAGTTAAAGGATTTTTAATAAATTTTAGGCAACCAGATGCAGCCTGATGGTTTGAATTAAATCTGACAGGCCTTGGCCCAGGCCAAGATTGAGAGCAGATACTTTCTTAAAGTGACCATACTATGTACCGTTGGAGGATCTTGTAGATCATGATTCTTCTTTAATGCACAATACTGTATTTCATCATGGTAACCACTATTTTCATCTTAAGTCTGTGACTTTATGAGCCCAGCAAATCTAAAATATTCACTTATTAAATACTTGCCTAGGAATCTTTACAATGGAATTTTCATGGGGGTGGGGGAGATAGCTCAGTGGTTTGAGCATTGGCCTGCTAAACCCAGGGTTGTGAGTTCAATCCTTGAGGGGGCCACTTAAGGATCTGGGGCAAAATCAGTACTTGGTCCTGCTAGTGAAGGCAGGGGGCTGGACTCAATGACCTTTCAAGGTCCCTTCCAGTTCTAGGAGATGGGATATCTCCATTATTTTAAAATTTAAATTTAAATTTCATCTAAATGAAGCTATGTAGCAGCCTTAAAAGGCAATTTCCCCATGTATTCTCACTGTCTGATGTATGCCTACCGACCCTGAGACTGAAACTGTGTAATAAGACATTATAACTTTGCCACATTATAAATAATATGGGGAACTCTGCACATTCCCTTCAAAGAGGTTTGTAGGAACATTTTATTTGATCAGCATAGATTACTCCTTCTTGACCCTTTTTAAGTTCAAGCAAACCCAAAAAGGAGAATGCCAAACTCAGTCCAAACTGGGATGTTTCACTGGGTTTTGTGGTGGAACCATGGAAAACGGCAGATTTTTCACTCCGATAAAGCTTGCTTGAAGTGTCTGTGCAACTTTGCGAACCTTCCAGCAAACCTGGTCTGAGTTTCAAGTTTGTAACAAAACCAGACTAACTTTGCATGGTTTGGGGTTTTACTGCACACATTTCCCCCGACTCACTTTATAATAGCATCATTTCTTGCTAAAATGACAAATATTTGATTCCCAAGGATAGCAGTGTTGTGGGGCTGTCCTGTGCGTAGCATATTTATCTCAAAAACAGTACAGGACTGCTAGATGGAAAGGGACACGTGAATTCTGTTGCGAGTTTGAGGGAGAGGGAAGAGTGGAAGAACAAATTAATCGATAGAAACATTCTTAGAGTTGGTGGGGAACAGAGAGTGGGCCTTCTTTTGTGACCGTCAGCAATCACACTGCTGCAAGGTATCTGCTTGCTCTCATGAGGAAAAGCAAAAAGACGTTGTTATAAAAACGGCAGCAGTGTCTCCTGCTGGTACAAGAAGATACTACTAACTGTTCATTCAAATAAGAATTGGGAGAGGAATGTTACTATGTGTGTTTCACTTGTGTTACAATGCCATCGATCAGAAAAAACTAAGCGTAAACATTAATTGCAAGTAGAAGCCGATAGAAGAATGGACACATCCAGGAAGAGGGTGTGTTTTATGCAACAAAAACAAAAAATTCAGCTGTTTAATATTTTTATAAATCTGATTTTGAGTATATTTGCTTCTAAACCAATCTGGTGAGATAGGCAATGGAAACCAGGATCAGATGCACAGAAAATCTGAGCAAAATAAATAGCGATGTGTTGGTGTTTTGCAGGTACCCTCTGATGCTTCCTCTAGACCTGTCAGCCCTTTGTCCTCTATGGTGCTTGTGAGTCCAGCCACACAAGCCAGCAGCTTGCTTCCCGTTGACTTCAACACCCCTGCCAGTCCCGTGGGCTGTCTGGATACCTCAGCAGCTAGGCACAGGATAGCAATAAACCCACGGAAACAGAGAGTGTTTACCAGTAAGAACCAGCAAACCCCTGTAAGTCTTTTCTGGAGGAGAGTGCAAAGCAAAGGGAGACGGGTGCAAGTGTGTGCAGCCTTTGCTGTGCTTCCCCGACTCTGGGGTCCATGAATATGTTAAACAGGAGGATAAGTGATTAAAGCCAATGGGAATCTTCCTATTGGAATCTTCCCATTGGTTTTAATAGAGACAGGAATAGACACCTAGTCCTGTTTTGGCCTTAAAACTCTGACTGAATGCCCGTGAAGGGGAGAATTTTGCTACAGTGAAAATTAAACTGTGGAAGTAGAATTTGACATCGGAATAATCAATAGAATAGAGAATTCTGTAGCTGTCTCAGAGCCAGTCAAAAATGAGAATTCTTTTCCAAGGAAATTTTTGAATGAAACTAAAATTTTGTTTGGTTTGGAATTTTTCACTGAAATGATTCACAATTGCACCTCTACCTCGATATAACTCTGTCCTCGGGAGCCAAAAAATCTTACTGCGTTATAGGTGAAGCCGCGTTATATCGAACTTGCTTTGATCCGCCGGACTGCGCAGCCCTGCCCCCCCGGAGCACTGCTTTACCGCGTTATATCCGAATTCGTGTTATATCGGGGTAGAGGTGTAATTTGTTTTGTTGCCGTCATTCAAATTGAAATGAAATTTTCTCTTTTTTGTTCCCTCCCCCCATTTCTCTGTCCCACCTCCCTTTTTCCACTGGAAGGAAAAGAAAGGGGGGAACGCCAAAACCAGATTTTTTTTCAGTCCTATTTGATTGAATAAAATGAAAGGGGTTTTTAGTTTCTAATTGTTTAATTGAAAAACTTCAAATTAAACTTTTTCTTTAAAAAAAAAAAAAAGTTTGTATTTGAAAAGCCAATTTACTTAGAAAAAACTATTAAACAACCTCAGACCAGCCTTATCTGAAATCTTTTGCATCTCAAGGAGGCAGAGTAGTTGAGCTACTCTAAGCAGCCTTGGGCTGAATGTCAGTCCTAGCAGCTCCATAGATCTGGGAACCGATTGCTCAGACAGATGGATGCATGGAACATGTAGTCTTCCACTTCCACTGGCAGAGAGAAGCAAAAGTGGGTGGCACTGGGGTAGGGAGTCTGAGGGGAAGAGTAGTGTATCTCCCCCGCCCCCTGGGAATCTACAGAGCCCTGGGAAACATATTGTGGGACTGGGGCCCATAGGCTAGGAAGAGAGTGATGGGGCAGAGTGTGGCAGAAATGGGGAGGAACTGCTCTATGCAAGATGCTCCCTTCTGCAGCAGGAGCATTTCCTCTTGAAAATGTGTTCTGGATTTACTGCTGCTAGGCAGAGTACAAATTCCCAAGGGTGGCTCTCTGCCCCCTTGGAGACATGAACTCCTGCCCTGCCAAGTGGCTAGGCTTCAGTGGCAGCACAGCTCTTACAGAATCTTTATTTGATGTTCTTTGCACTGCAGCAGATAAAACTACAACACTGGAGGAGAATAGCTAATTCTCCTGTGGCATTTCTAGTGACCTGAACTGATGATGACATCTCTGACTTGTTCTGTTCAATACACCCATGTAGCTTTGTGATGTCTTGAAAACACTCCCTCTCAAAATGTATCTGTCTTAGAATGTTTCTGGTACTCACCAAAAACTGAAGTACTGTATGTGTAGTTTTAAAGCTTTGATGTCTTGCTATGTAATTCATTGGAGTAGCAACATTCATTCATCGTATTGTTGAAGTTACAATACAGGGATTTTTTCTTGTGTATGTTTATATTTTTCAAAATGAAGTTACATAGAGTGTAAGTTTTGTGCAAAAGTCTTTACTTTGAACCAACCCAAGCGTCTTTTTTGAATCCCACTAGCTTGAACAACTGGAAAAGGAACAGAGTCTTCCTGTAACTGCAGAAAAGAAAAGTACAACAAAATTCCTTGATGCTGACCAGTATGAAAATTGGGCAGGTAAGGCATAATTCTGAAGGCTAAATTGTTAAGTCTGTTAACAGAATTCTATTACAGCCCTTTTAAAACTAGGCAGCTTTTACTTTTTTTTAAATCCCAAACTCCGTCCCCTCTGCCTGAGAGCTGGCAGACTGTGCTTGAAAGTGAGAAAAGAATGATGGGCTCTGCTAAACAGAACGATGATGAACTCTGCGGAAGGCATTAAAACAGAAATCACACTAGGCGTAACATTTTTCCAAAGCACCTATATCGCACGGGAGCCTAAATCTCATTGATTATGCTTCTAAGTAACCTAGGCACTATTGAAAATTTTATCCTACATCTGTAAATACTGCCTGAGCATTATACCTTTGGAACAAACCATCTTGTGAGACAGTGTGTAGTGTGACTTTAAATAGCTTCTGTACAAGCAGGTCCTTGTTTCCTCTATTTTTTTGGGCTGATAATTGATTCTCACTGCAATAGTAAAATCAACTGCCATTTCTCCCAAACAGCCCGTTATTAGAATCCCTGATTTTGATCAGCGCGTTATAAATACATTGATTGATTGTAACATTGTCAGTGTTTTGTTAAACCAAACTCAAGGCCTGACCCTGCAGGATGCTAAGTGTTGCCTATGAAGTGCTTAGTGCCTGCAAGCCACGTTGAAGCGAACAGGGATTGAGGGTTCTTAACAGCTCACAGCTCTGCGTGGTATGTAGTTGGGCATCTCTTTGCACTATTTCTGGTGTATTTGCACTATTTCTGGTGAATTCAGCGTTTGTGAAAGGGGGCAGTTCTAGAGGTCGAGGTTCCAAAGCCAAAGAACAGGAATAGGGCAGATATCAGCGGGGTGAGCTGCCCCAGCTGCCATTTCAGATATTGCATCCCTGAGACTACCAGTAATAGTGACAATAGTTATGGTGATTTTACTGATGTAGATACTGGCACACTAGGATCCGAACTGAAAGCAACAATGCATTTGATACATCAGCTGCTGAGCAGGCACGTGGCCACAGCAGCTTTCAACTACTACTAGCCTTGGCTATACTCCAACGGAAGCCAATGTATTTCATTACCAGACCCCTGAGCCAGCCAGTCCATCCCCCATTTTTAAGTATGTTTGTCAGCCTTGGGCATCTAGTAAATTGCAGGGGGGTTGAGGAGTGCAGGAGTCTTCATTGTAACCATCAAGCATAAATTTGTTTTCTTTTGTTCAACACAGGTTCATTGGTCTGGAATGATGGAAAAGGAAGTGGTGCTAAGGAGACACAGGCCATAACAAAGACTGACAATTCCACAAGTAACCCTCAGAATTCTGTATCCCCTGCAGACATAGTTTGTACTTTGCTAGAAGAGGATGTATGCCCTATAGAAACAGACCATCAATCTAAAGTAACAGTGTCCTTTCCAAATGTGCAGTCTTCTCTAGCAAAATCTGAGGAGGAGAACAAGGCAGAGGAAGTACTGGTACCTTACTGCTCTGATGAATCTATTGGTGAATTCAAACTACTTCTGCAAAATACTGATGAAGTAATTGAACTGTCTGAATCTCTACAGACTGAACCAGAAGCAATTGTATTTCAGGACACATTAGCATCTGACTTGTATGGCATTTCCATGGAAAAGGAGGATGCCACAAAGGTATCCTTAAAACAACCTGTAGACCAAAGCGACAAAGAGCCTGGAGACGGTGGTGTAGCACTTGTAGGAAAAGTGGAAGATCAGCCTTGTACCGATGAGAACAACTTCCTCTGCCTTGATTCAGATCCTGCAATGTGCGTTTCCCAGGTTCCTTTAGCCACTTTGGAGACGTCCTCTGAAGTAGAGTGCATGGCTGTTTCAGTGCCTGAAAATACCCCAGCAGCAGAAGATGATAAAGAAATGTGCAAAGTTACGGAACTTCAGCCAGCCAAAGACCATGTAGATTCAACAACATCCCTACAAAAAGACTCAGTTGTGTCTGTGTCAGATATAGATCGCATGTTGCCTCAGAGTAAAGTGAACAAGGAACTACATTTTAAATCAGAAATGCATTGTCCTGTTTCAAAGGCTCGCCAAAGCAATCAGGAGACAGATGCATCCAACAACTTGGAAAAACATTCCATCGGATGCCTTGCCTCCTCCAGTTTGGCCGGCTTCAAGAGTTGTATCCCTCTTAGTGGTGACAGTCAGCAGAACCAGTTAGGCGGCGTAACTTCTCAAGAGAAAACAAGGAAAGAAAGCAAATCTCCATTGAAATCTGCTGCTACAAAACCAGTTCGATTTACTATTGCTCCTGCCTGGCAAAGATCTCTTTCGGGGGGTTCAAATTCCAAGGAAGAGTCCTGTGCTAGAAGCTCCCCATCCTCTCCCATAAGACCAGAGTTGTTTGAAGGAACAGCTCACTTAGATACCACCAGGCAAGAGTCTACAAAAAACAACCCTGAAGGGTTTGAGAGGGATAATGAGAGCAACAAGGCCAGTTTGAATTCTTCCATGGAGGGGGCTGAGCATGAAACACAGAATGCTGAAAACCCATTTGGGATCAGACTGAGAAGAACATCCTCTTTGCTAAAGTACCACAGTGAATCTCCAAAGCAAATTCCATTAGCTGTTCACACCACCTCTTCTGGTTCTGTCAAGGAGGATCAAAAACCAGTAGGCACTGGGAGGCCACCTCACAGCCTTCCAGGCAACCAGAAAGCTTTAGCTAAAAAATCAGCTGTCATGGAAGAGAAAAATGCCCCCAAAACAAAACCTGAAGAAGTCTCAAAGAAGCAACACTCTAACAAACTTTCAGGTATTTATGCTATACTTGTATCCAAAGACTGTTGAGAATAATGGCTGTGCAAGGCCATTACAAAGAGCGGCAAACCAGGGATATGAAAAGAGTAAAAATTTTCTTTAATAGCCTTGGCCCTGAAATACAGGACCCTATTCAGCCCTGGTGTAACTCAGCTGATGTCAGTTTGGGCTTGTATCTTGGGTTTAGGCTATTCAAGAAAATTCTTAGGTTCCACCATACAGTATGTTCAAGCTAGAATAGTAACAGGGCATCAGAAATATAAAATGGGCCATTTTTGCCCAGTTTTTGTGGAATCCGTAGAATTTGTTTTCAGCTAATTGTCAGGCCAATGCAATTTAGAACTTAACCAGGTATCACATTAGTTGTAATTTTTTTCTAAAAAATTTGGGAAACGAAAAGGCAGCTTGTCTCTAACTGGATTACATAACAGAACAATGGTCATCACTCTACATTTAGCCCGTACTGTCAGCATGTTGCTTTGAGAGCTGAATCCTGCCCCGATTGACTTTAAAGACTCCAGTAGATAAAAAGGACAAACATCCTTGCCGAGGAACAAAGACAAAATCAGCAGGGAAATTAATGTTATCTTCACCCTTTTCAAAGTGTATTCGCTGAAGGATTTAAAACACAAAACTGTTTAGGTTTTGATAGACTTGCCCTAAATCCCTTTTTTACTTCCAAAATGCTTCTTTTATAGAAAAAGTCCCTAGTCCGCATTTGGAAACTGTTACCTCTGAACCAGCTTGGATCTCCATGGCAAAACTAAAGCAGAAAGGTTTCCAGGGTCATCCTCTTGCCAAAGGACATCAAAGGGAGGACAAAACTTTGACCAAAATGGATCAAGAGGAGGTATGGTACCTAGTGGCTGGTAGACTAGAACCATTGTGAATACTGTGACAGTCTGACGGGATACCTGTACACAATACTGAATTTGGCGTTCTTGGATAGCAGGTTTTTAGTAATGTGTATGACCAGATTTTCAAAACCAATTTCTAATGTTGTGCCCACAGACAGTTGCTGATGCAAATGAATAGATGTGTATTTGGCCATATCCGTAGCTCAGGTACTTGGAATTTTGGGGTCAGACTCTGCAACACACCTATCCTGCCATAGTCATCTTTGTGCCTCTCGTCTTCTGAACCCTGCAAGGGGTCTGCCAAATGCCCAGCACAATTTAAAGCAGCCACAAAAAGCTGCTCTATGTTACGGCAGTTTTCCACAGCCCCTGCTCTGCTGCTGAGAGCTGGTTCTGGCACAGGACTTGGAGGCAAAAGGTTTGTGGTTCATCCACAGATTTCCTGTGTGACCTTGGGCAAGTCATTTGACTGTGTCTCACTTTCTTAATCTGTAAAATGGGGATAACTGTCGTCTTTGCAGGGCTGTTGGGAAGTTTAATTCAGTAATATTTGTAGAGGGACTTTGTGATCCTTGGCTAGAGGGTGCCAATGAAGGACAAAGCAGTATTGTTATTTCAGTGATCATAAGTATCTTACAGACTTAATGGTAAGTGGATACAATATCACAAGTAGTGATTGTTAAACATGCCATTGAAAAGCTGTGTAAAGAGAAAAGCACCTGGCCTGCCTTGGTATATTCCCCAGAGCACCTGTGCCCTGTTCCTATTTCTCTTCTGGTGAATTCTCAAAGTCCACCTCTGATCGAACCTTAAAGGGGAACTGCTTCCTGTGTGTAATTATTTACACTTGCTGGTTTCCTTATTTGCATTCTTTGTTTTTTTCCTTAAAGCGAGTGACCTGTGCTAGTGAGAATTTATTGGGGAAGAACCTAACTCCCAGCCTGTGCGCTCAGGAGAAGAAATCACAAATGAAGACCACTATGTCTGCTACAGCAGGTATTTTTTTTAAAAGTGTGTGTGTCTGACTCACTCACTCACAGTAATGGCCAAGATTTTCACTGGTGACTTTTTGGGTGTGTCCATTTTTGGCTGCCCAGCCTGAGAAACCTTTAAATGGGCATAATCTTCAGAGGGTGACTGCTCAGCATTTTCACCCACTAGGCTGCGTCCAGACATGTCGATAATGCTACTCCCATGCTTACTCCATCCCCAGAGCAGGTGGGTGGGGGGTGAGCGGAGAAAAGTTCCGTCCTCAGCCCGCTTGCCAAGGTTCCTGACTGAGGACGTGGAAGGGGTGGTTGGTGATGCAGTGACTCACTGCGACTAGAGACCAGTAGTAAATTACAACCAGCAGGGAGTAACCGTGGCTCAAAGAGGTGTGTGCCTCATGGTGCTTTCTGAGGAGACTGATGCAACGTATGCCCAGCCCCGGTTCAGGGCTATGCCTAAAATCAGAGTTGAGCCGGAACCGTGTGCAGATAACACGCATCAAACTTGCAGCTCAGACTATATTTTACTCAATGAAATCTATTAACTTCAAAGCTTTCTTGTAAGTAAGTGAATAGACTTTCTCGCCTTCCTCCCCATCCTGGGTCGCTGACATAGCAATGAATGACTGGCTGAGGAATCATGACCCAGAAATGCCGCGTTAGCTGCCAGCTCAGTGTGTGATTCAGCTATGATTTTAAGGATTCCATTATGTGCCAGCTTCATTCCCAGACTCGGTAAACTCGGCACAAAGCTAGACAATGGTAAGCAGGTAGGAAGTTTGAGACGTCTCCTTTTGGAGTACAGTCAGGGCTGGGCTGAAAATTTCTCCCATGCCTCTCTGCCGGAGACACCTGGATTTTCACTTTGGCTGAAATTCATGCCACCCATGAAAGTTGCAGCCTAAACCTTTCTTTGCATTGTCTTGCTCCATGGATCATTCTGGTGTACAATGTCTTTCCCCCACAGTGGTAGCAGCTAAGGTCGCTCAATTCTTTCACCTCTTGAAAATTATGACTATCTCTGACTAATGTTGATGTTTTCAAGAAAAATCACCATTACCCAACAGTTCAGAAAAACACCACGCCCTGCTGCCAGCATTGTCCCCACATGACCAACAAAACAGGAAGACTTTCAAAACTTAGACTCCTCTTGTTTTACTCATATTAAAGGAGCCAATAATTTGACTTGGCTGAGGGGCAAGGAGTATATATAATTTCCAGAGCAAGTGGTAACCTTGGATACACTTTTTGTCTTGTAAATGGCTGTTGCAAAAGTTTTCTTTCTACACTTGATAAGTGATTGCGGCTTGTGTGTATGATACGTGTCCTGTACAGGTTGACATTTGTAGCTTGGTGCATGTATAGCGCAAGGTAGAATGGGATGATTAGGAGAGAGTTCTGAGAAACCAGATCCTGCATTGAGAGCTGCTGCATTACTCCTCTCTCGGAGCAAATGTCAGGCCAGAAAGGGGATTGCTTATTTAGACCCCCTGTTAGCATGTCCTTAAGCCCATGTCTCCTCAGATGTGCCCATTCTCTGTCTACACTCCACTCCCTTTTTTAAGCCTACGCTCTTGAGACTGTCCAAGGGACTTGAGACTGACTTTCACTCAATACAGAGGAATATGGGTATAATCTTCATAAGTGTCCAAGTTCCTTTTTTCAAAAGGGACTTAGGTACTTGAGAGCCTAACTCCCTTTGAGACTTGAGGCCCAGATTTTAAAAAGGTATTTAAGCCTTGCTGGAGCCTAAATCTCATCAACTGTCAATGGGATTTTGGCTCCTAAGTGCCTACTTCCCTTTTGAAAAATGAGATGTAGCCTCCTAAATCAGTTAGGTGTGGCACTGCTGAGTGCAGCAATGCCTGAACACCGTTACAAATCTGGGCCTAAGTCCCTACGTTATGTAAGCACTGTTGAAAAAGTGATCCTATATCTGGAGCTTGATCTGCTCTTATTAGGGGAGCGTTGTCCCTTCCGCTATAGTCTGCCCCATGCAGGGCACAGCCAGGGCTATCCCTACTGAGCTGATCCCAGGGGCAGGCTTTGCCAACAAGTGTTATCAGAGTGAATGTGCATTTTTTCATTGATCTCAACACAAGCAGGATCAAGGCCCCTTGTGCTTAACTTTGCTTGTACCCATAAATAGCTTCCATTCATGCTTGCCCCCCCCCCGTGTGCCACGCAAAGACTTGTAGATAGTAATTAAATATGAGAGGGTTTGGCTTTTTCAGGCCCTGATTTATATTTCCAAATGAAGTACAATCTGTTGGAGTGGAAGGAGTGTGCCGAATGTCAAATGGCTTGTGAACTGTCCCTTGAGATATTTCAGTTGCTTATGTGTAGGCTGCATTCTGTCCTGGCCCATGCAACCCATCGGAAGACATCAGTCTTCGATATTTTCTATTAGATCGATAAATTAGGCGTTTTTTTTAAATAGTAGCTCAGAGCCTTACCAGCAACAGTATCAACATTCCTTAGTCTTTGCCGATGTCACCAGGCTTGTGATAGGCTGCAGATTTCAAAAGCTATATTTGAAAAGAATATCTAGTCACATTATGCTATCAGCTTCCCTCCCCTCTGGCTAACATGTCCAAGAAAATGTAGTATGGGTTTAACGCATATTTTTTTCCTAGTAGCATTTTTATAGTACAAGTATTTTTGTTGGCAGTAAAGACTGGAAGGTAAATCTCTAGACCACTCAGTGTTGAAGATGCCTATCGTTCTCTGCTAGCTAAACTTGGAGTGATTCTTCCCATGCAGCACATGATCATATGGTTGACTCCTAGAGCCACTTGTGCGTTACACAATGCAAAATTAGCCTGTGGAATTCCCTGCCACAAGCTATACTTGTGGCCAAGAGTTTTTAGCAGGATCCAGAAAATAACTGGATATTTATATGAACAAGATAAAAATCCCTCAGGAATTTTGGAAAAATTTACTCATGCTTCAGGGCTTAAGCCTTCCTCTAAATATTGGGAGTTAGCCTATCTTCAGTGAAAGCTGTCTCTTAAGTGCCTACTACAAAGTTTCTGACACCTTCATCTGAAGCAGCCAGTACTGGCCATTGTCACAGACTGGGCACTGGTCTCTGGACCACTGGTCAGATCTAGTCTGGCAATTCCTCCTCTTATCTCTGTTGCTTTGTGAAATTGTGTCACTTTTGGTTTTGTTTCACCTCTAGGTGACGTCACTTTAAAGAGCAGGAAAAAAAGTTAGCGTAAGTTCTGTCTAACTCTCCTGTGTTCTGATGACTGACTGGCATTGTTCTCAGCAGTTACACTTGGACCTATGGCTCAGGAAGCGTCTGTGGTTCCCACCACTGAAAAGGAAACAAGACAATCCTGTAATCTGCCAATGACACCGTGCAGCTCTGCTGAACCACCCTGGCTGTCCCTGGCCAAGAAAAAAGCCAAAGCTTGGAGTGAAATGCCTCAGATTGTTCAATAGCAAATGACAAAAGTGTCCTCCTCTGTACTGCCAATAACTGTATTAACTCCATATAGTAACTTCTTCGCTGGGACCATTTTTGGGGGGATGAGATAAAAGCCGTAGAACCTTCAGCACAGACTGTAGCTGTGAATATGTGAAGAAGAAATGCCATTGACGGGTTAACCTGCAGTAACCACCAGCATTAGGAAACTGAGCATTTTCCACGATAAAATACCATGAAATTCCAATTGACCAATTCATACTGACCATGTTTGACTAAAAGACAGTGGTGCTCTAAGAGGAGGCACTTCATGCCTTTGAAGCATTTCCTTTCTAAAAGGGGAGATTAAAGTACCCTGCACACAATACAGTATTCTGCATGATTTCACTTTGAGCATTGAATTTGTTTGGTGTCACAAAATGGTTTTAGAGCTCTGCACTGGAGCATCCAGACTGGCTGTCACTGATGTAGTACCATTTATGTCTCTAAAGCTTGGTCTAGGGCAGGTCTGACTGTGGTTCTGATTGTTAACGTATCTGTTTCATAAATGAAACAAGACACAAACAGCAATGCAGATTTAGGGGATTCTCATTTCTTAGGTGGTTAGAGTCACTCTGCCTTGGGCCTCATGCCTTATATTATACCATCTACTGGAAAGGCCCAGAACTGCACTGCCTTTGTGTTCTACTGCTAATGTATTTTAAAAAATCAATACCTTCTAAGGACTAGATTCTGCTCAGTTACCTCTGTAAATCTGGAATAACTCCACTGACCTTAAGGTAGTTTGGAGATGCTGAATTTGGTCCTTATACCTAAGCTAAAATTTTTATATTTAATTTCTAGCATAGAGCAATTTCTCTTTGTAAGCCTCTTTAGTGAAATATCCCTGCTAATGGCAGAGGTGGGAAAGGTTTGACCCACTCTTGTTTTCTGTGTAGAAGGAGACCTGTTCGCCACAAACAGTATCCCACTGTTCGCCTCAAACAGTATCCCACTGTTCGCCACAAACAGTATCCCACTGTTCGCCACAAACAGTATCCCACTGTTCGCCACAAACAGTATCCCACTGTTCATATTCACCGCAATATGATTTTTAGACTATTTCCTTTGCAGTTTAGAAAAAAAAAATGCACGTAACATCCACCCTTAGCCATCAGTACATAACTGAAAGCTGAAACTGAACATCTATCTAAAGACACAGAGCTGGCAAACAGCTGCTCTTTTAGGGTTCAATTCTGCTGTCACTGAAGTCTTGCCACTGACTTTTATGGGAGCAGAATCAGATCCTTTAAAAATAAACTTTGTAAAATGACTTAGTGACATCAGTGTCAGGACAACCAAACTGCAGCTGCCTGTACATTGCACATTTGCAAAACATTTTCTGTTTACAGCCAATGAAAACATTGAAGACTGACTTGTCCGACAGATTGTCTTTTGCAAACAAGCTGGGTAGCATCTTTAAGAAAAATGGTGCGTGGCAAGAGGTCCAAATGTGAAACAACACGTTTGACCTTGGAGTAACTCATTATCTAAACTCCCACCTGTTGGTTCTGGCCTGAATTTAAATATACTACTACTTCTGAAATCTGTATCCATTGCTAATGAAGACTGTGCAACTCTTATTCATGTGGCTGAACAACTTACTCGCACTAATAGTCCCACTTAAGTTAATGGGTCTGCTCTTATGAGTCAATGCTAATCAGAAAGAGAAAAGGTTCCACAGTCGGTTCACTAATACAGGCTGGTTTTACTACTTTTTAGTATCTGTTCTAAGAAGTGTATCTTCTCCTGCAATGTACTGAAGCACTTGTGTTTCTCTAAAGTTTGAGAGTATTATGTAAAAGAACAAATTAAACATTGTCTACTATGGTTTTCTACAGCTGACATCACATACATGGGTTTAAACTCTCTGTTTAAAATATGCACTTTCCTATATACTGCTATTTCTCTCCTGTTCTTTGCCAGTCTGGATTGCAACCCTACACCTAAACTACTGCAAACGAAAACAGCATTTATCTATTACCTTGTTGCTTTTGTTCTTGATATTGTGTCTCTCATTTTCTGTATGGTATGTATATACGTTTTTGTAATCCTCACCTTTGGAGGACCCCCTTTTGTATTCTATTCCCATATTTGGTTTACTATTAAACGCTATGGTCATGATGGAATTTTTCAGGGTTTGGATGGGTTGTGATTCTGGAGGGGATGGACTGGCATTAGGGAAGCAGACCTTGAAGAAGAACTGTTTGTGCTTGGTGGGTTGATATACTGTATAGATTCCAGGTTGGGGAAAACTCTACCTCTGGGACTTTGAACTGAGCATCACAGAGGTGAGAGACTGTATTTAGTTTTCTTTGAAGTCATGGGACAATTCGTGCAGTCTCTCTTGGGGTGTGGGGTTCGCTGTGTTGTGCTTTGCTATGTGGACCTTGAAGTCAGCAGGATCAAGGGGCTGGCACAGTAGCATTGATGACAGGAATGGAGCTTAAGCTCTTGATGAACTGGAATATCAGTTATTATTGTTTTTTTAAATTAGTTGATCAGAAGAATTTGGTGACCAGACGAGACGTTCCCTACTCCTTGCAGCAGAACTGCTGTCTGGACAGGAAGCTACTCTAGAAATCCTTATATATAACCGACTCTCAATGAGCAGGATTCTGTAAACTTCTATAGTATGTTTGTTTATAGAAACTGAGCAATAGGCTGCCCCAGCAAAATCAAAGTGAATGGGCCTTATGTTAGGCCTACCAGCCTCAATTAACATTTCCTTATAGCAGCCCATTTAAACATCCAGCTGGTCATGCCTCATGCTGCATTTTGGGGTACAGCCATGGAGCAGGTACCTTTGGCTGTCAGGCCAGGGGATAGAAATGCTATAGAATGTTTATCCAATATATAAATTTGCAGCATCATTGGCACCTCTCTTACATGCATCACTGAGTAAAGATGGGAATACTAAACATACCATCCTCCTTGGCTCCAACCTTCAGTGATTGTTTTGCTTCATCTGTTATGTTAAATAGAAAATAAGCAAATCTCCACTGAATGGCATAGTCTACTGCTGCTGGTTCAGTAACAAAGTGCATGAATGTTTTTTCTCTCAGGTTAGTGTATATCAGCAGATCAGGGCCCCAATCCTGCAAATGTATGCATATGTGCATAGTCTCATTGACTCCAGTAGGCCTACAGGCATGCTTAAAGTTGAGCACAGGTGGAAGCGTTTGCAGGATCCAGGGGTAGACTGGCTATGCTGTACTCCCTGCTCCACCACAGTTTTGTGAATTTGGCCCTGCTGCCGGTCTTTCCAGAGTCAAGAGTCCCCATGGCCTTGGTTGAACTAGACCACGGAGAACAGATTTTTAAGACCTTGGAGCCTAAATGTGTCCCTTCTCAGTTACATGAAAGTTCCTATGCACTAAGCTTTGCACACAGCTGATAATGTAGTATCATCTGAACAAGGCAATCTGAGTGGGATAAATGTACCATGGGCAGTCTGTGTTAACTTAATCTCTAGAGCAGATTTATTCATAGTGAGACGTGATAGTCCCTTATGAACCTTCATACTCCTAGGCATAGCAAATGGAGTTTCCTTTCAGACCCTCTTTAGGTTCTCCTGCTGATGGATACAATCCTTTCCTCACTCTCCAGAACTCAAACACCCTGAAATTAGAGCTTATCAAAAACTGAAAAGTTAGTTTTTTGAAGCATTACAAAATTTCAGAGTTTTGTTTCAAAGGGTTTGAAAGGGATCTATGTTTTCCCCAGCACTTTATTGACAATTTTGAAAAATATTTTTAACAAACGCTTTGAAAAAAAAGTTGGGAAAAGTCATTTAAAAAATATTTGAACAGTTTGACAAATTTGTGGGGGGAAATAATTTCAATTAAGGATAAGCAAGATGTTTTAATCTTCTGGCCAGTTCTACCCAAAATATACCAGAGTGAATCTGTAGAAAGTGGCAAAGAATAAATGTGAGCGTGAGCAGTTACAGGAAAGTAGGGTGACCAGACAGCAAATGTGAAAAAATCGGGATGGGGGTGGGGGGTAATAGGAGCCTATATAAGAAAAAGACCCAAAAATCGGGACTGTCTCTATAATATCAGGACATCTGGTCACCCTACAGGAAAGAAACATAAAAAACAAAGTTTTTCAATGTCAGTTTTAGTTCGTTATACCGGCCCTAGATCTATGCACCATTTGTGAAAACTCTCAGATCCCCTAAACAATGGTAGAAGCAGAAACAAGGCCTAAAGGCGTATTGATTTGTCTCCAAATTCTGACAGTGTTAGTAAGTGGAAAATATGGTTGCTAATCCATTTAAAAGATCTACCATATAGACCGTTTCCAAGGGCAGCAAGATATCAGCAACCACAATTCAATGACATTTCATTTTGGTGACTGAGGAATTTGGAGGGATAAATGTGCTTTGTCACTTCTCGGGGCATCAGAGAACTGTTGGCCCTGCCCGTTTACATGGTATGCTTGTTCGAGGCAGTCATTCAAATGACTGGAAAGGCACAGCATGCTGTGTGAAGCTGAAAAACTGCATATTGCCATGGTTCAGGACTGAACTATTGCCATAGAGCACAGAAGCATTTAATTCATATATAACTTGAGAGAAATCATTTAACATGTTGCTATAAGTGATCTATGCGCTAACAGTCTCCAGTAGGTCAAACATCCCCAAATGTCCTATTTAAAACTTCCGCACTGAGGAGCTCTCTTAAACTGGTTCAGGGGGTTCCTTAGCGCAACCTCAGATTCAGAGAACTGGAGACTCATGCATTCCTCCTGTGAATGGGAATTTGGAAATAGGGTGAAACTAGAAGTGATGAGGAAGAACTGAAATATTTTCAGAGCCAACTTTATTGATTGATTTTGTTTCCAGCCAATAAACTGGATATGTTCAAGGCAGTATATGACTGTTACTTCTAAAAGCAAAATATATGCCAATAGAAGGAATTATACGGCTCTTCCTTTAAGGTTAGATGAACCTTTTCAAGACTCCCATGGCCCTTTATCACAGTACGCCTCTACCCTGGTATAACGCGACCTGATATAACATGAATTCGGATATAACACGGTAAAGCAATGCTCCGGGAGGGCAGGGCTGCGCAGTCCCGTGGATCAAAGCAAGTTCGATATAACACGGTTTCACCTATAACGCAGTAAGATTTTTTGGTGCCTGAGGATAGCGGTATATCGGGGTAGAGGTGTACCTTATTCCCCTTAAGAATCTCCTCATTCATCTCTTATCATGGAGTTACTGCTTTTCTACTGATACTGATAATAACCTTTAAGTATAATCCTTCAAATCGCTCTTGCCTCTGATGCTGGAGATGACAGGCTCACGCTTAAAATAAAGCAGATGGTACAGATAGATAAAATTATTCAATTACAAATCAGTGCATGCCTATATCGAGGCATCTAAACATGGTTCAGTAAAAAAATGCAAAAAAAAGGTTCTAAATAAAAAGGTCCAGGTAAACCCAGCCCACAGCAACAATGATATATACAACAGCCATCAAGCAAAACCCTTCCGTGCTCCCAGAGATCAGTTCCCAATTACTGGGAGGACGGGGGGAGACCAAAAGGTAGCCAGTGGGAAAAATCAAGGGGTGGAGGCCTCCAAAAAGCAGTAAAAACTAGAACAATGCAAATAAGACAGACACCCAGTGAGGGACAGCAGTACCCTCCGTGGAGGGGATATGATAGCAGTTTTCAGGTATCTAAAAGGGTGTCATAAGGAGGAGGGAGAAAACTTGTTCATCATAGCCTCTAAGGATAGAACAAGAAGCAATGGGCTTAAACTGCAGAAAGGGAGGTTTAGATTGGACAATAGGAAAAAGTTCCTAACTGTCAGGGTGGTTAAACACTGGAATAAATTGCCTAGGGAGGTTGTGGAATCTCTATCGCTGGAGATATTTAAGAGTAGGTTAGTTAAATGTCTATCAGGGATGGTCTAGACAGTATTTGGACCTGCCATGAGGGCAGGGGACTGGACTCAATGACCTCTCAAGGTCCCTTCCGGTCCTAGAATCCATGAAAAAAAGAACTGTCCTCATTATACATAGGGACCAAGAGCAGACTAGCCCCACCTGACTAAGTGCCAGCTAGGAGTAGAGACAATCACTTTCATATTTAGTACCTAGATTATGAAGGGCTTTACATAATACATCAGAGGTTCCCACGCTTTCCCTCAGGGCTTTTATTGTTTATAGAGAGATTGCCTCTGGGACCACCTCTCCACCTGTTTGTGATCAGATAGGCCACCTTCCCCTGGCACTACAGAAATCGCTTACATGGAAAAATAATATTAGGAGACTGGCATATTTCAACTGTCTTTTAATGCAAATGAGCAGGTGGAAACAAGGAGGAGGAGCCAACATCATATGACCAGCCCGTAGTTCATGGAGTACAGTTTGTGAGCCAATATATACTAATCCTGACTGTGATTACTGCACACAGGAGAACTGAGCAACTACTGCAAAAACAGCATTCACCAAAGTTTCTTGGATTGAAAGCCAGGACTGTGCACCAGCAGTGCTCACAGCACTCTTAATAACCCTTCTACCAGTATTTGTGCCAGTGGTCCTCTGGTCCCAGGAAGCCTTGCAAAAAACTCAAGAGAGTAGATTTCAGTATTGCCGATGCCACACATTTAAAAACAAAACAAAACATGGGATTAAGAAAATACATCTGGGTTCCTTTTATTTGTTTTCTGGATTTTGAGGTGCACATTTTTCAAGCTTTTCTCTGAAACCATGAAGGCTAGAAGCTTACTTTAAAAAAAGTTGAGCGTCTCAATGTGATCACTTGACTCCAGGCGCGAGGGCTTTAAAAAAAAAAAAAAAAAAAAACCACCACCACATATCATGAGATTTGTGATAAAGCCATGAGAACTAGCTATGTTCATGCAGCCATCTTAATATCTTTGATTTTCCATTTTCTGTGCCCAGCACAATCCTGACTGGGTCTTTGGGCCCTACCTCGCTACAAATAATACATAACACAACAAGCTTACTTGGGTATTTTTAAAAATTTAAGATTACTTTTCAAAGATTGTAATTTTAAATAAACTGCATAGAAGTGCAGAGGGTATGTACCGTTATGGGTAATTAGGGCTGGGGTTTTACTGACACACCTGGAAACCGGTCACAGAAACTCC